AAATAATTGAAAAGATATACATTTGTGACGGAAACGTAATAGAATAAAGGTGTTTTTTTTTTCTTTCTCCGAATATAAATGGAAATATGAAGTTCCGTGGTGTACCTTAAACGATTCTTACCCAAGCAATTTTCACCAGTGGATAGAGGATAAAAAGCGCAGAAAACGATGTCTTTTGTGGCAAATATTTAGAAGTTGCCAACACCTACTTATGTGAGTCTTATATAGGGAAAACAGAGAAAATTAAAATAATTTATTCTATAGCATTCCGTCAGAATTTTATATTATTCGAGTATTTTAACCGAGAAATTTACCAACAATATTACTTGTTCAATAGGGCAGGGCTTTGAAGTAGAGGGAAAATGTGGAGTAAAAAAAACACTAAACAAACTTTTGAGGACCTTACCTAACCTTTAAAAATTCTAAAACTATAAAAAAGAGCTTACCTTATTCATGTTTTCGGTGTTTAGTAAGTGATGGTATTGTTTTCGGTTTTTGGTATGCAATAGTGTTATTTTCGGTGCTCAGATGAGGGATCCATCAACTCCAAAGCAATTCTTTACATTTTTACAAGTTAGGAAAGGTTTTCAAAGGTTACTTTGGTATATCTTTAGTATTTTACCTCACATATTTCCGTCTACTTCAAAGCGCAGCCCCTTTTGATCAACTAATATTGAGGTGTAATTTTATCGGTTAAAATACTCGAAAAATATAAATTTCCGACGGAAACGCTTATAAATTATTCTCAGTTCTTTCTCTTTCTACCTATATAAGACTTAATAATAAAAGTAGGTGTTTGTAACTTCTAAATATTAACCACATGCTATTCTGTACACGGCGCAACAGTATCATTCCAACTTTTTTTTTTTATGGACATTAGCCCACCCGGGCACCGGTCACTGACCCACATCGGGGCCTGAGGGGTCGAAAATATAATAATAATAATAATGATAATAATAATAATAATAATAATAATAATAATAATAATAATAATTTAATAATAATAATAATTATTATTAAAATAATAACTACAAAAAAACGAAATACTACTACTACTACTACTAATAATAATAAAGACTATCAATAAATACAAAAATTAAAACAAAATCAATCGTGAGAACCTCTGTGTGTGTTGTGTTGTCAAAGCAAGAGAAACAATGGAGACCCTGCAACTGCGTGTAAATGAGGCAGATACGTTCTAGTCTTAAAAATAAATACAATTTTGTCATAAAAATTAGACTTACTTCCGTATAATGTATTAACAATCATGACAATATTATCCGAATAAAAAAAACACATTGGAAATACAAAAAGCTGAAAAATCTCGCCTTCTTTAAGTTCTTTCCACTGGTGAGACGTAATACAATAAGTTTTTTTTTTCCTTTCTCCCCATATAAATAGAAATACGGATATTGGTTTACTTTCACACAAGTTCTACAACCATGGAATCTTAGGAGTATTATCTATGCAATCAATAGTTTAAACATTTCTAAGACACTATTTTTTATGACGTTTTCCTCACAAATGACTTATACAGTATTGTATATACCGGGGGTCCAAAGAAGTGAGGTTAGGTTATGTTAGTTCATTTTAGGCCATTTGCGAGTGAAACGTCAAAGAAGAAAAGAGTTAGAATTGTTTATACAATATTGAATGCAAAGATAAAACTAAGGTTATATGGTTGTGTGAAAGTAAAATTTTACCTAAATATGAAGTTCCATGGTATGCCTAGAACGAATAAAAAAATATTCCACCAGTGGATAGAGAATAAGACAAAACCATGTCGTTTTGATTCGTAACTTGAGATAAGATTTCGGATCATATGAAGATCTTGCCCCCCAAAGTATCCAACTGAAGATCCTCCCCCCCCAGGCTAGATCATATGAAGACCCTCCCCCCCAAGTAGGTTTGGGGGGGAGGTTAGGTTAGGTTTGGTTAGGTTAGGTTAGGTTAGGTTTGGTTTGGTTAGGTTAGGTTTGGTTTGGTTAGGTTAGGTTAGGTTTGGTTAGGTTAGGTTAGGTTTGGTTAGGTTAGGTTAGGTTTGGTTTGGTTAGGTTTGGTTAGGTTAGGTTTGGTTAGGTTAGGTTTGGTTAGGTTAGGTTTGGATAGGTTAGGTTAGGTTAGGTTAGGGGGGGTGGATCTTCAGATGAGCGCGACTGGGCTTGATCATATAAAGATCCTCCCCCCCAGGCTAGATCATATGAAGATCCTCCCCCCCAAGTAGGTTTGGGGGGGAGGATCTTCATATGGTCCAAGATTTCATTAAAATTTGTCACACTGCTTTATAGCTACGTCATTTTAGTATACAGTACTTTACGCTTACATGCTATTCTCGCATAGAACAAGTCATTCATTCTAACTTGTAACAGATACGTTCTATTTTTACAAATAAATACAATTTTACCATAAAAATTAGACTTATTTGTGTATAATGCATTAACAGTGATGACAATGTTGTCCTAATAAAAAAATCACATTGGAAATACAAAAAAAGAAGAAAAATCTCGCCTTCTTTCTAACACCGGTGAGACGAGTATTGTCACTGTTCACAGTATATGGCTCCTGCCTCCTGGAACTATCCGAGTTCAAGAGAGATGTATGGTGCAAGTAATTGAGTTATCGTCCCCTTATTATTATTATTATTATTATTATTAAATAACTACACAAAAAGTCGTAAGAATCATCACTGGAAGTGGATATACTGTTATTAATATAATTAGTAGAAGTCACAGATTGATAATACAGAATACTGTACATTGATTAATTATCATTATATTACTGCTAATGATAAAAATTATGGACTGACACTCGCAGAATGATAATAAAGAGTAGAAATTAACATGAAAAACCAATTAGACGAAACTAATTAGACCAAAAGTAATTAATAACTAGTTTTCCACAATACAGAACCAATACTCTGAGTCTTGACTAATATTTGAAGGACTAGCCAAAGCGTTAAACCCGACACGACCGTGTTGACATTCTTGGCACCGTACAGGTGGCTCGTAAGCCAGACTGGATGACGTTATGTTTCTGAATAGAAAAGAAGGACTTCTTATAGCGTCTCAAAATCACAGCTGACAATACTTGCTAAAAAAAACGAACCTAATTATCTTGGGTTGTGTAGGTTAGATTGTTAGGCTCCAACCAATTGTAACTTTGCTGACTAACGCATTCTAGTCGCATGTAGGCTGAGTTTAAATTAGTTTCTGGGTTACATTAAAATCTAACGACAAGTACTATTTTGGATATTTAATTTCTCCGTGTTTCTTTTTTTTTATGCCAGCAATCAATTTCTGAAATACTGTGCAAAACATTGTTCCGGAATTCTGTAGAAAAAAAGGAAAGTTGCTACACATTAAAGCCAGATACTGAAATGTTATCATTATCGCACTACTTGAAAAACATAAAATTTTCTTGTACAGTAAACTATTATTTCAATAATTTCTATATACGTACTAACAAATAGAAAACTTGCGTTAAGGGTGAGTCCATAACAGCACACTTTTGTTCCAGCAATAACTGTATTAAAATGGCAGTGAAAGATAGCATTATTTTTTATTCCTTAACTCCCAGATCCAGTAGGGAAAGTGAAGTGGACTCGGATAAAAAAAAAATTGACAGAAGCCGATGGTCTTCCAATTCACTCTAGGGGAAAACACAGCCATATTTTACAACACTGACCTAGAATCTAGTTTTTATCATTGATATGGTTCTTCACGGACTGTTTGACAGTTGATTTTTAATAGAAATAGTTCCTAGTCCAGCTCTTAAGTTATATCTTTTAAGCCAGGTAGCATAAGTCGTGTACAAATTTTAGCAGGAAAGAACTGCAGATATATATACAGAATAGTATTTAAGTTTGGCAATGCTCCTGCAGTGTTTTTGCTAAAATTAGAGGTAAACTTGCTACAGAAAGTATCTGTATGACTCCTGTTGTCTCGGTAGGGTTGTCAAAATCCTTAGTTTGATGTCATGTTGTCTCGCAAAAAATTTTGTGGAGACTTTTTGTTGCGAGTATACAGTAGTTCAGTGCTTGAAAATATAATTTCAAATCTCGTTTCTCCCACCCAATTTAATCACAACGCAGATTATTTATTTGTTAGGCACAAAACACCTCAAATTAGCAGCAAATACCATACAGTACTGCACTTACTTAATCTGAAAGAACAACTGTGTCATCTTTGAGGAATGATATACTGTATGTACTGCATCAAATTCAGTTCCTTGAAGATATGCTGCCAGAATGTAATTTCTAGGTCTAGTTACACTTTTAGGTAACTTTTTATACTTGTTATGTTCTAGGCGTCTATTCCACCACCTTCAGCTGATAAACTATTGTACAGTAGCTGGTATTGTGCATTGGTCATAATACTCCATGTACTTCTCTATACTGTGCTGTACTTCAAATTTCAGCACATGCTTTTATGGGATAACTTATTCTTGAACATACAGTAGTTCTCTAATGATCCAATATTCAGGTTGTCAGTAATAGTGCTGGACCGCACAAAAGCTGTACAGTATTTTGCAGAGAAAGTTACTGCCTGGTGTGGTCAGTTATAAACATACTGTACTGAACAATAAGGTAACTCGATGGAACACTGTTTATCGCTAGACAAAATGTGGAATAATCACAGGAAAAACCCTCAAGTTACCAGTATGTACAGTCCCCTTCACTAGTGTGTTTACAGTGGCTCAAGTTTTGTGCAGTGTGGCAGCCGTGTCTGTTTTCATTCGACAGAAGGAAAAGTAGCAATATTAAATATACTTTGGAATCAAATTAAAACAAATATCTCAGTGTATAATGATTTGTGGAGTGTTTATATGACAAGCCTCTGTAAAGGGGACTGTACATGAATGATGAATGTGAATTTGTAATTTTACCAAAATATAGTACAGTATTTCAAGATTCCATTATTTAAGTTCACACAATACTGCAAAGTATAAACATCACTATAAATTTTCATTAACATATCATACATCTACCTAACCAATTCGGCTTTAATGAAACTACTTTATGTACATCAGATTTATTCAAAATATAATGAACCAATTTGTTACTTCAACCCTTTACGACAAATTTACAAATGCCTGTACCAGTGATCAAAATCCGGGTTGCAGACTCCTGTATAAACTTTAATGGGCATAAATATAATGATGTTTATTCAACTAAACTAAACAAATGTTTGGGAAAGATCTGGAAGGGACTACCGAAGGATGAAAAGGTATGTCCTTCATATATAGTATATATATATTGTAATGACCACGGTCGTACATGTCAGTTATCGTAAAATCACACGATTCATATTACGCTCAATAGCCCACAAAACATGTAGCATGCCTTCTTTATCGAGTCTCCCATCTGATGCATCAGTTTTCTCATCGCTTCAAGATGCCCGAGTCCTCCGTTTTCCCATTTTCTCTGACTTCCTGAAACCGACCTCTCTATAAAGTAAATCTGAATGTGAGAGAGAACACCATTGTTTTGTGTCAACTTAGATATGTCTGATTACAGTTAAAGCTTACAAGATCCTTTGTGAGTAATGTTGAAAGCTTTAACTGCAGCTAAAACTAATGGGAGCAAGAGTTTGGAGGTTGAGGGTAATTTCATGACACAATAATTTACTTCCTAGGTCTGCCTGGCTGCTTGCTAGTGTTTTTGCTAGATGATAAGCGGCTAGATCGGCGATCATTTGGAGTTTTGTTTGACCCAGTGCTGGAGATAAAGAAATGAACATTAGTTTCTCTACATACATTTAAAGGAAAAGGAATGAGTTTGTGGAATCCACTGTGTGTCTAAGGAGGTATAAGAACATAAACCCTTGGGAATAGCTGCCTTACTACTCTAACTGACAATGCCAGATAAAGGATAATTAACAACTGAATGATAGCGGACAACAAACCATCGTCCTTACACAGGCTAAAATAAATCTGCCTTCTATGAAGTCATCTCTGTTGGGAACACATTGGGTACTGAAGATTGAAGCTTATCAGCTCTTCCTTCACATCTCAAACTTAATCTAACAACAGCTCACTCTTCCTCACACTTTAGGTTACATAAAGGTTAAGGAAATGCTGACAAGTCTGGGTTTCATTCTTGAGCCTTGCTGCAAGCCTTTCAATGTTAAACAAGGTTTTAGGCAGGATTCTGAAATCATTTATAACTTCTGCAGAAATGTCTGATGCCATGATAATACATTAATGACTTAAGGTGGGTTGTTAGTCAATTTTCCATTTAAATAGGTTGGCAATAGGCACTGAATTTTGTGTGTGTTGTGGAGGAGACCTGGAAGTTAACCGAGCAGCAACCAGATACGACACAGATTAGCTGCTTTCCTACTTGTTGGCAATCTATTCAGTACCTATTAGCCATAGATATACGCATATAGGGTTGAGAAAACAGTGTTATGAAATACGGCAGTTTTAACCAATCCACCCTAAGGCTAAGGGACTCCACAACTTTATTTGTTTTATCCTTTAAATGATAGTAATGTGAGCACACACATGTCATATCGCTGTTAGCAGGAACAATTGGTGTGGAGCACTTCCGGGAATTAAAGACTTCAGGGTAGCGACACGACTCTCATAACAGAAAAAAATCCCTCATCCCAGGAATTTTTTGGGTAATGGAAAAATGATCCTGAATGTTCAGGAAAATGCACATTACATCATCTCTCAAACCCAGAAAATAACACCTATCCTAGGAATTTTCTGGGTACTGAGAAAATCTTCTTGGAATTTTCCAAAAAATGTGCCCATCAGAAATTTTTTTCAGAAAGATGGAAGTCTCCGCAAAATTACAGCTTTGGGAAAGATTTTCCGAGAAAATTTCAATTCTGGCTATCGTAGAGTTCCGGCCATCAGCTCGATGAACAGGCTTTGTGTGAAATATAACAGAGTCTAGGACTGCTTTTAGTGTCCTTGTGGGTTGGTCGGTAGCGTTCCCTAGTCCCACCCAGTAGGTCGAGGGTTCGATTCCTGGCTGGTGAGGTCGTTGATATATATATATATATATATATATATATATATATATATATATATATATATATATATATATATATATATATATATATATATATATATATATATATATATATATATATATATATATATATATATATATATATATATATATATATATATATATATATATATATATATATATATATATATATATATATATATATATATATATATATATATATATATATATATATATATATATATATATATATATATATATATATATATATATATATATATATATATATATATATATATATATATATATATATATATATATATATATATATATATATATATATATATATATATATATTTTTTTTTTTTTTTTTTTTTTAATGTACATTAAAAAGGTAATTACTTACCAATAACTAAAGAAGTATACATTACCTTGTTGAACTGGACTCAATTCTTGCAGACCTGCGAACAGGTGTTGTATCCTCGCTTGTAGTTGAAGCCTTTGAACTATTCTTGGCACTCGTCCGGATTTTCAAATTCGAAGATTCCTTTTGACGAGTGATTCTTGCACTCCGACGTGACTGTGAGGAGTCTTCACTTGTAGGGGTCAGCTCAGAAGAATTAAATTTTTTTCTGCTTCTATTAACTGGAGTCGACTGCTTAGAGTCAGATGATGGAGATTTTTCAGCAGAGAGGGTGGATAATCTATTACGTGTCACTCTAGATGGTGGAGTTGCATAGCCTGAATAGGAGCTGGAATCTTCGGATGTATCCAAGACCTCCAAGCAGGTGATTTTGTCAGGAGATGGTTGGCTAAAGTCAGATGACTTGCTTGACTTACGACCGACTCTTTTTTGACGATCATTCAACATCCTGTCAGAAGTAATACAAAAAAAGATGACATTCCAAATAGACATAACAAGTAAAAACATATATCATAAAATCATAAGCTTGAGATGTTCCTGTTGCCGTTTCATGCATAATTCCTTCAAAAGGCAAGTGCCAAACTGAGGTTCTTGTTGAATAGTTATGGAGAGTAGATGAGTGAATGGTAAAAATGGATGCAAGCCAAAAGACTAAATAAGTGATCCATCTAATATACTGTATAAATGAAAGCAAAAATTAATGGAAGAATTGATGAATTTCTTGCAAAAGTGGTAAAATATGTTCAACAGCAAAAAAGCAGAACTCCTTAATTATAGCAACATTAATGACATGAGCAAAGAATTGCTTGTATGGCTTCATGGAACACTGTTAAAAGACATTTTTTTTTTGTGATAAAACTATTGCAAAAAAGTGAACACAATCCTGTTTAAGAACTAGTAACTTATTTTTCTTGGATACCTGTATTTAACTTCACACTAAATCAGTTTTATTAGATTAAACTTCCAAAACTAGGTGGAGTTGAAACACTTATTGAATAGGTGATATGAAAAGTGCTATTTTGCTAGTAGATCATGTTTGGATAACCAAGGAAAAAGTAGATCCAGTCAAATGAAAGTCCGGCCACCCCAGGTATATACAAAAGAAAAGTATAATGAAAGGTCGATAACACTGCAGGTAGGATAATATTACTATGTACAAAGTTTAATGCCCAACAATTCTGCTCCAGACATAAAGCTAAAGCAGTGTGTTTGCATTAAGCATAATGCCAATATGTATAAAATTTTCTTTTGTTTCTTTTTTATTCTTGTAAACTTTTCTCCGTTATGATGAAGTATGGCTGGAATCAAGAGCAGAAAGACTCTCCTATAGTAAGTAATGTGTGATATAAATCTACAAAAATATTACCGAGACATGCGAGAAACTTTAGATGGTGATATTGTCTCCTCTTCTCTGGAATCTCCAGTTGATGATTCATGCTTGCTTCTTCTCTTACCACTGGACACAGAGGAACTGCTATCAATTTCAAGTGCTACAAAAGGCCTGTGGACATCACAAAAATTAGCTCAAATACAAGGTAATCCTAAGGAAATGGTCTCTTTTTAAGATTCAAGATAGAGCCTCAGGGGTTTGGGCTTTAAAAAATTATGGGAGGAGAATTTTTAGTAGTCTTGATAAAAAAAATAAAATAATAATAACTTAAATGAGATTATCTCAAGTGTTTCCCAAAGTAATGAATATGATTTCAATCAGAATTTCATATATCAAGCTAAAGATAAAGGAAATTTCTAACAGCCGCCACTACACATGTGCTGCCTCTAGTCATTGCCTGCCACTACTTATGATGTCTCAGATGTTGCCTTTGTATATATATATTTTTTTAAGTACACAAGTATTTCCCTATTTTATAATAAAGCCAGACACGCTGATCTTATTCTTGTCATTCAGCAGTCAATGAGTTAAACCACTCCAATTGCAGGATTTTATTCCAGATAAGGGTTGGTTTCATCAGTGGCAAGCACATCCAGTGAACAATTTATAATGTGCAAGGAGAAAACCTAATTTACTATTCCAGTGTGAATTGAACACACGATCATTCACCTGCATAATACAAGCAAGCAAAGCAATAAAAATGGTGTCCTAGCAGAGACCAAAACTCTATTACATCCAATGAAGATTTTAAAAGTTAAGATTATCATCAGATTAGAAAGTAAGGAATGAAGATGGGGAAAACTATAAAATACAAAAAAAATAAACTGAACCATTAATGAGTCATTAAGGCCCAGAAATGTAACTAGATTATCCAAGGTCAATGACAAAATACCAGACGTGGTGAAGAAAGCAAAGATAGTCAAATGAATAGAGGTGGAAGTCTCACTCATCTTGATGAGTAAACTGATGAGTTGGAGCTTTGTGGTTTTTATTCAGTTAATTTCGCTTTATTAGCATAAATTAAAAAAGGAATATAAGTTGTAAGTTCTATTTCTTTCTTACTACGTCACATTCACTTTTCTGTAAAGTTTAGAAAAGATTAAGTTAGGTTAGGTTAAGCTTGCTTTGTCTGTTATTGTTCTTTGCTTGGGAATGGAATTCACTTAAGAAACTGATGGAGAAACTCTTACCCTAATAATGTGGAAGTTTCTGCTAATTCATCACTTTCTTCTTGGTTTTGTGTGTTCCCACATTGTTCACTGACTGGCTGAGGAGAACTGCTGCCAAGTGACTCAAATAAATCTGGGCTTTCAGCATTATTATTCTGGCTGACTTCTGGGATTCTGCAAGTGCAAGAGAATTTAAGAATTCATCATTTAGATACAATATCAATGCCATACAACTAAATTTCTGGACAAATTGCAAGATATTATTCCTTACTGTTTGCAAATAATAGTAAAAAATACTATATTGCACCCACAACAATTACAGTTCTCCCCAAACATTGCAGATTCTTATCTTAACCCCCACTTAAACACACATTTCCCAAATATTTACCCTTTTCATGTTCATTATCATATTTTTTCCACAATTTACTTTTCAATCTTAAAGACAATAACTCCTATTCATTCCATATGCTCATGTACTTCAAAATATGACATCCTTTTTAAGTGGAAGATGACAGGGCATATTAGAGCAAGCATATAAAACTGACTTGAGTGGAATACTGTAATACGTGTATATACAGATGCAGAGAAAAAGAATTACAGAAATAACACGTGGTAAAGAAAGACGTGTTTGACAGGGCAAATCTGGGCGAGTTCAGACGGTAAGGACAGAAAGAGAATGAATCATACAAAGTGTCTAAGTCAGAGGTGGATGGTGGGAGAAAGATGGGAAGACCAAGGAGATGGAAAAATGGGATGGAGTGAGGGGGATGGTGGCAGGTGATGTTGGATAGTATGAAGCAAAAGATACGAGACTGTGTTACAGAAGAGGAGTACCACAGGAAAACACATTTTCTACAGTGGTAAGACTGAATGCATGACAACCAACAAAGGGAAAGGTATATGCAGTGTTGCTCTTACTTCTGTGCCTGAAGTGGGTACAAAATTAAGAGAAAATCTTATTTTTTTTTTAATACTTATCCTATCCTCTCTGTTGTTCACTATCTACATATGCTTGTGTTTATGTTCATACAAAATTATGGCTTTGAAACACATGACATTGCCCTTGGTGCTGTCAAGGATTATGTTCATTATTTATTTATTTAGTTTATATCTTGTACCAACACCTATTAAAAACCTGGTCCCTGACCTTGATCCCTTAGTACTGGGGTCCTCTAAATCAAGGGTTTTCAAACTATGGGTCCCGACCCTTCAGTGGGTCGCGAAATAAATAAATTGGGTCGCAAAATAAAAATGGGTAGCGAAAATGAATCAGAATATTTTTATTTTCATACAATTGGATACATATAATTCGATGCTAAATAAAGGAAAATTGTGAACAGTGTTTGTCTTTGATTTACTCATTTCATATCATTACACTTAGGTTTAATGGGTCGCAATTCAAATTGTTGTTCTGGCTGTGGGTCGCAGTAAAAAAAGTTTGAAAAACACTGCTCTAAATGTTGTCCATATGTTATTACAGTATATTATAATGCTCTGAAACCTGAATACATATACAAAGCAAGTCCTCACTGAAATTGCATCATAAATTGGATCGTTTTTTTTTTCATAAGAACAAAATTTATTATACAGTATCTAGAGGATTCATTAATTTATAAAAATCTCCATCAAATTTTCTCGTAAGAAATAGATAGTCAAACCTCAAATTATTTCTACCCCTTTGGTGTCGAATAATATGACAAACAGGTATAAAAATTCCAAACAATGCTCGTGCATCTGGCTTCACATTAATACCCCTGCTTTCCTTGTAATGGGAATATGTTGGTCTACTAGTGACAATATTTTTGAGTCACACTTACCAATCCTATCAAGACAGCAAGAGAGGTAATGTTCATTTTCAAATCCATCAAACCAAAGGGTGAAAGTAATTTATGATTTGATCGTACTAGACCCCTCTTATGGCATTCTATTGTATAAATATGCAAGTAATAAATAATAAATTAATTCATGTAATATGAATAAAAAATTCTACTCTTGATCCCAGGTCCTTAATGAATTAATGCATTTTTATCACTTTTCCTCTTTGTAGGCATCTTGGCAGTCAAATGTACGAAAATAATCCAAAATGAACACAATGATGACGGTGTTTACTGTGTGGTGATGCCTTCAAACTAGAGGTGGATGCCTTTGTTTTGAAAATGAATAGCAGGTGTGTTGTACAGTAAGTCCAAGTTGCTCACTGTCTGCCGTAAGAGCATTCAGGTATCTCAAGTGTAAATCAGATATAATTGACTATCATCATTAGTGCTATTCTGTTTATTGTAAGTCAAAGCATCGAAAGTAGAGGACTAACTGTATATACTACATATGAAAAACAATGAGTCTAGTACCAAGTGTCAGTATGTGTAAGAAAGGTTATTACTGTACTAACTAGTGAAAAATTAAATAAAATGGACGATATTAAACAATGCATTTCAACTTCACTGTAAGAACTCTTTTACATGCAAAGATAAATTACAATATCTAATAAAATAACTTATCTATACTAAAACAACTTGGTCTTACAATTCCACCTCAGTGCATTCAAAGTGCAGAGTTCTGACAGAAGAATCTTTAACTTGCTCATTCTGAAAATAAGAAAGAGAGAATTCAAATACATCACTGCAATTATTAGAATTACCCGATGAAGAGAAAAATTATATTAAAATAATCGTGAGGCGAGGAAGCTAATGTAAGAAAATGGTTAAATGTGGAATGCAATTAATTGAAATATGGTACTGTACGTACTAGTTATTTCATACAGCAGCTGTGGCATGTTGTAGCCATCAGCTTGTTCATTAACCTAACTCTTTCTAGCAAATAAAGTTCATTATAGGTGAGTATACTCAGAAAGTGAAAAAAGCATGCAAGTAAAACAGCAAAAACTTTTTTTTCCATAATTTCTGTACGACAGGTAAACAACAATCAACCATACTTGAAACAACGCAAATTTAAAGAGCAAGATAAGAAAGCTTGTAGTTACATGTTATACTAGTTGGACAAGTTGTGTCTGTTCACAACGAACATCAAATATAAAAGAAACCAGTTTGTAGTATTTTCGGTCAGGATATCCCACAAAAAATTAAAATAAATAAATAAATAAATAATAAAAAAAATACAACTAAAAAAAACTAGAAATTGAAGCTTACATTGTTCTGAGTATTAGGCACCTGTGGAGAATTTGACTGAATTGATTCCTGGTCCAACTGAATGCTTGAGGGACTACGGGCCAAGCGTTTGTTTGGGCTGCCTTCAGATTCAGACTCCTGTAGGACATTTCACAACTTTTAGTCAATTTTGTAAAAAGAGAAGGTTAATATACAAACTGTGATACAAATTACTGCACCTCAATCAACATTACTATATAAGTACAATAACTCCTATTAAATTGCTCACTAATATAACATTCATTTTAATTATCCAATGGTTAACAATACAGGGGTCCTGGGGTTACAAACGGGTTCCGTTCCTGAGGACGTTCTGAAGTCGAATTTTTACACAATTCGCAACAAATGCTATGTGCATACCGTACTTACAGAACACTGTTTAGAACCCCACTATATGATAGCCAGAGTCCTTATATACATCTAAAATCACTTAATTTAAGACAAAAGAAATAGAATTACAAAATAGAGTAAATAAAACTACAAAATATGTTTTCAGGTAAATTAAATACTGAAAATTTCAAGTTTAACCCAGTTCGTAAGTCGGGACCTCCTGTACACAGTACAGTTTGTAAAAATAAAAGAAAAAAGAAGTGGTTAGGGAGTATTTCTATATGTTGTCTATGCACTTTGCTTCCTTTTGCAACTCTTTCTTGCAACAACCTCCTCTACTATTTGCTCCCTTTCCTTGATGAATCTGTAAACATTAACCATTCTTACAACATAGTAGGAAAGGAGTTAAGATAATGGATGGAACAGAAATGGTTACAGGTATCCCTCGATATATGAATTGGTTAGGTTCCCGAAAAACAATTCATTAAGTGAATTTATGTACAGTATAGCGAATACAAAAACATGGGAAAAATAGAGCCCGGCTCCCCAATGAAGAGAGGAGAAAAAAAAAAAAAAAAAAAAAAAAAAAGTCATAACCCAAAAACTTAAAATCAGTTTATGAACAACAAAAAAACCTACCCAACTACAGTAATGATAAAATAGTACACAACTATTTTGTAATTTACTACCCAACACATTAAAAACATTAACAAAATACAATCTAGATGAAAAAATTAGCTAAAATCAGTCAGGAAAAGCTAAATCAAAGTTTAACAAAGCCACCATTTGCATAGATGCTGGCTGTGTCAGACATGGCCAGCCTCAAGACTCGCCATAGAAAACAAGGCTGGCTGAGGATGCTCCTCCTCTCGCTCTCATACACAAAGACATATTTATTCCCTTTATGTTTTTGACCTTATATTTTTTTTTTACATTTTTGCACATTATGCATGTAGGATTGTGTGTGCATGTAACTGAGTATTAAAAAAAAAATTGATCTATGCAAAATTATGAGTTGTATAATAGCCATAATATAACTTCCCCCAGCTTATTCTGCTAACTTACGCTGGCACATGAAGAACGTTTAGCCCTTTTATGTTTTTGACCCTATGATTATTTTCCCCCATTCTGTATGTAGGATTGTGTGCATGTTAATTAATAAAAAAATATGAAGTTATGTTTATCTACCCAAAATTAGGAGTTGAAAAATAACCATAACATAACACCTACCTCAGCCTGGTAGGGAGAGGTTAAGGGCATGTGGCTGCCCCAGTTGATTCTCCGGGGCACGCACTTTGAATTTTTGTTGAGGAACAAATTCATAAAAGAGGAGGAAACCTTCGTAAATTGAAAAACAAAAGTGGTAATTTAGGAAATTTACATAAGGGAATTTTTGTATCTTAAACATTCATAAAGGAAGGGATAACTAAACAGTATTTTACTTTTATTTAATTTTTTCTGAGTACAGTATATGTTTTGACCCCTGCATTACTTCTACTTAGCAGCCTAAGTTACATATCAAGCATCCTATAACCTACCCATACATTTGCACACAGTCTCTATGTCTTACACCAGCAGGCTGCAAACTCTACTCTGAGTCTGTCAGCGATCAACCAAATAGAAAAGGAAGCATCGATTGTCATTAAATTATCATTAGCAAATTTATGATAGCCTTACACATGGATACTGTACAGTTGTTGAATGGTTAATTTTGAAAAGAGAGCATGTTTTTAAACTATATATTGTTCTGTACTAACAGAGTGCTGATGAATCATTCTTGCTTGTTTGATGAATCATGGGTGAACCAAATTTGGGACTCTGTTGTCCAATGGGAGTACCATTGGAAAATGAGTGTGAACACATTTTCTCTGGTTTCAGACACTACAATACAGTACTTGGGAAAAACTCTCGAGTGTATCAACAGTGACCTTTCAAACCAAGATACAATAGCTTCAAAAATACTGTAATGAAGTAATATCAAGTCATCACTGGAGTATCTGCACACAAACATGTATAAGCAAACACCAGCAATGTCAGTCCTTTCTTACTCCTTGTCTGTGGCCTCTGACCCCCCAACCTCCTCCTGATCCTCCCTCATGCCTGGCCACTTCATATCTTGAGCTTTCATATTTCAACCACTCATCATTATCTACAGGTACTAACACAGCCAGTGACTAATTCTTGGTCACACATTTTAAATATGCAACACTTACCTCTCCAGAAAATACTTCTGGGTCAGACATAATGAGGGTGTTGTATAATGCTCTCTTTTTTCTAACCATTGTAGATTCCAATGTCTTATTCATAGAAGTGGAACCTAGGATCAACAGATGAATGAATTAGAAAGCTACAATACAATTATTGAGGAAAAATAAAACTAGGAAGGGAGTTAAAGATGAGATGCCCATAGAGATCTTAAACTGGATGGGCTTTTATGAAGATATTCAGTACTAAATTCTACTGTATATGAAGAATGCAATATCATAAGGCCAAACTTATACTTTATCAGGTACACAGATTAAAAAAACTAAAAAAACTCACCTAGTGGAGAGCTTGTTTCATCTACTGCCATGGCAACAGTGTCATCTCTTTTCTCTTCCTGAGATTCAGGATCAATCTCAGGGGCATTTTTTAACAAATTCTGAATGGATGCCTGGAAACGCTTTATAGCATTCAAGCTTACTTTCTCAATCACACGCTGAAATCATAAGATACTATTTTAGGATTAACCTTAGGTATTTTGAATTGTTTGTGCAAAGACTATCCAAAGCCATTTTCCAGAACTCTATTTTTTCTGTAAGATATTAAGTTTGCCCAATGCAGTTTAGTCCAACATGTCAATTTAAAGGAACCTAAGACATAACATCTAACATGATCAACTTCATTTCTTTGGAGTTTGACAAGTGCTGTGCTGTGCTGTGGATAGTCTGGTTTGGCTTGTTAATAGTTGACAAAACTGTGGATTGTGATGAAACGCCCAAAACCTGCTAACACTCAATGCAGGGTATTTGTATAATCAAGAACCTACAGCAAACATAAAGGGTATTTGAAAACCTGCAATGGTTAATACTGCACTAAATAAAGGCTCGAGAAGCGAAGTAGTTTTGAAGAAATTAATGACATTTCATATTTTGCCCTCATAGGTTTCTCATGACCTGGGTTCTCCCACACTGGATATTGCCATTAAAAATAATTTACACTGCAGAATATATCTGTCATTGTAGTCACAGAATGAATGACAGGCTGAAAGGAAAGACTGTTTCCTCTTGATTCTGGTTACCCTGTATTATAGTGAGAAATGAGGTGTGAATGTTTTTTTTTTTTGTTTTTGTTTTTCAAATAAATTTTATATACAGTGGATGTTCCTTATTTCACATTTCAACACCTCGCTTTGTTTATTTTAAAGTGCTTTAAATTACTCTATTTTTGTATTTTATTGTGCACTCAAACCTCTTTATTTCATAGTGTAAGCCCAGAAAATTTGGATATTTTCAAATGGATCACCACACACCATCAGCTCACATGTGATTACAGTATCAGGCAGCAGACGATAAGTGAAAGTTCCCCAAGTCTAACAAGATAGCAAGACTCGTCTCTTGCCCAAGGCTAGCCAGACCTGCTCGCTCTTCTTCGCTGAACCACAGTGTGCTGTATGGACACTCGCTCTATCTCCCCCATAACTTTCAATCACTAGCAACAGTCATCAGTTCCCATCAACACCTCAAGATGCCTAAGTGTCCCACAAGTAGTACTTCTACCACTTAAAGGACCAAGAAATCAAGGGTGTAAGTGATTACAGTATTAGAAAATTGGTTAGTTTAAAAATGGTTGCAATCATAAAAAAAGGTAATCTCACCTTTATCATCTTACCAGCCAAGACATCAACTTGTCGCAACAAGGAAAAGTTGGTCGAGGTAAGTTGGAGATGATTTAGACAGCGGATAAGTACCTTCGTCCAACTGCCTTCAGAGAAGGCCAATATTTCAGTACACAATGTAAACACCAATGTATCATGGGCATTAACCTGGAAGAAAAAATAAAATAAAATAAAAATAAACAAATATCATAAAAAGTGTATTTTGCATCATATTTCTGCAAGTTCTGTCTGTTAAAACTTAAAAACTTTTGCTTTCCTACACATCATGAAGTGATACAGCAAATCAAATGGCACTGAGAAGAGCTTTGACTAGTAAACACTTCTACACTCACAGTATTTGTTTTATCGACAACAATAGATGGACTGGTTATAGAAACCAAGAAATTTGCCACATCATCCACATCAACATCTCTGAGGGGTGAGCGTGAAGGAGCATTGAAGAGTGTGTGTAGTGTTGGCAACACAGCTTCACTTAAACTTTCTTGGTTACTGCCCCCATATGATGCATACAGAGAGAAGAATACCCCAAGCATGTGCCTCATCAAACTGTCATTATCTGAAGAAAAAAAAAGAGGAAAACTGCATATTGGACATAGATGGCCAAATATATTTTGAAAAGCCACTCTCCCTAGTGTGTAATTGTACAAATATTTGTTGAGCCTAATAGACTTTGTACTTGACTGATGGTATAAATTACATTAATATAGGTAAGACCTATCATATACTGTATACATTATATGACCCATATTCTAAAGTACATTCTCTCCTCGACTTACGACAACCCCGACATACAACGGCCATGGTCGTATAAAACATTTTTCACATTATGTATTTTTAGAGTCCCGACATTAGTGATCGCGCTGTGTACTGAATTTTTTTTTTTGTAGTTCCCTTTAAAATGGTTGGCAAGTGTAAGTGAGAGTTCTCGTTGTGTGAGAAGAGACACCCATTTTAGAATTTATATGCATTATTTTTGCCTTTTCGACTTACGACCTGGTCGTTGGGACGGAACCCAGTCATAAGTCGAGGAGAGACTACTATGAGAAGACTACAAGAACAACTTTATCAAACTTATGACTTTAACCTTTACCTATTATGTACAGTCAACAAAAAAAAAATTCTGCACCTTTACGGTTTTATTCAATATGACACACCAGACCAAGAATTTTGAACAACAGGGATTTTATATGTACTGTATTCCTGTTAATTTCAGTGTAATAACTATACAGTACAGTACTTGATATATGAAATATATCATATTGGTTATACAATGCATCACTCAATCAGAAGTACCAACTTTACCAAATGAAGATGGCCTCAATTAGTGATCTTTGCAAAAGCCATCAGACCAAGGGGTACAGAAAAATATTTTGTTGGCTGTACAACTTAAAAACCAAAGGGGGATTTCTGGCAGACTAAATAAAGGCAACAGCCAAAAATATTACTTCACCTTTATTGCCATTATCCTTGCTCCATTTATCATGAAAATTTAAATCCTGCAGGAAGTTACCCAATTAGCACGATTCATCTATAGGTAATTATTTTTTTTATAAAACAAAGGTCTTTCATTTTTCTTATTCTGATTATATAATTCATCTATCAATTTTTATTCACAAAATAAAAAACTTGGTTTTTATGGGGTTTTTTATTCTAAGCTAAATTAAGGATAAGAAATGTATCTTTAATCTTTTTTCCATGAACTTTGTATTCCATATAGTAATGCATTGTATATGAAGTGTAGCATTCCAGGCTATAAAAGTTCAACTCTGTTTATTTTAGAAACTAGAGATGAAAGATGCTACCTGTGATCAACATGAATTACGGACTTTGCTTTGAACTCGGCAAAATGAATGATATCCCTGTAAGAAAAAAAAATTAGCTCCACAGATCAGTACAGTCCCCCTTCTTGCACTTACTAATAAATTAGCATTCTATCTGTCATTGGTGGAACAGCCCATCAGAGTACAGTACTCGCATTCTGTTAAGTGTTAAGCATTAAGAAATAAATTTGTGTCTGCCAGCCATCCTACATCATGACAGGAAAAGGCTTGTATACTAAGGGGGGACACACACACACTATGACAAAATTACCTGTAACTGGATGATACCACTTGAGGATGAGACGAGATATTAGCTTGGAGGAAGTAATACGACAGGAGAGCAACAGTTTACAAAGACCTTCTGCTGCAAGAGTTTGCACGTCAACACTGTCAGCATCCATCATCTGACAGAAAAACAATACCGGGTATCTCAAATTTATGTGATACTGGAAATCTGTACAAAGTAACAGATATCCAGATGAATTTAGATAGAATGAATGAAAACAAATAATGGGAGAGTCAATGTTAGTCTTGATTCTAGTCACTATGCATCAGTAGCAGGAAAAGTTTCACAAGAATGATATACTCTGTACCGGGTACAAATATTAAGAAAAAATTTATTAATTTCAAAATTACATGCACCTCATCCTATTCAGTGTGTTTCAGAAATATGTTTACTTTTTAGGGGTGTAATCCTGAGATACACTTAAGGATAAATGACTTCATTTCAATAATTCCAATACCCCAAAGTTTTCGAGTGTTAACGCATGACAGCCGGGGCTGGAATGTGCTCAGATCTATGGAGAATAAATGAAATATCCCGTGTTGTCAGTACAATTTATTTGCAATCATATGCAATCTGATATGGATTTTACAGTAAATGTTCAATGTTCTGACCCTTTACTGTATGCAGACATCAGCCCATCACAAAAGTTACTGTTGTACACACTCAAAGACTCGGGGGTATTATGAATGCCACATTTCCTCACAAGTCGGAGCCTCTGTAGCATACACTGTGCCTTTAATATGACCCCACAAGTAGAAATCAAGGAGATTAAAGTCATGCATTTGAGGTGGACATGGAACCTGCCAGGATGCCCAACATTTAGAAATTCTGTTGTTATTCAAGCAAAATGAGCTGGGACATCACCATGCATGTAGCACAGTTGTTGACAGATCCTGGTGGGCACATCCTTTCCTCAAGTATCACTGGCAAAGTGTCCTCAAGAAATGTGCGTATTGTACACCTGCCAGTCACTGGGGTAGTAGATATGGGCCAATAAGGTGGTCACCAATAATGCCGGCCCAAACATTAATTGTGAATCTTACCTGATGAGATGTACATTTCATTTCATGTGGATTGTCAACAGACCCACTTGACTGTTACCATTTACTGTAAATAGGATTTGATTTTTTGTTTTATGTCAATAGACTTATTGCAGTTCTCCTCTCCCTAATTTTGTGGTACTGTATAACTATGGTCATGTAGTCATTTATCCTTATGTATGTCTCAGGAATACACCCCCTGAATTATGAAATAGTTTTCCGAGATACCCTGGACAGTATGTCAAATTTCACTTCAATTACATCCCTAATTCTGGAGAAGTGAGAAGTTAAGTTTCAAATGCAGTCACTATGAAAAATATATGTGATAAAATCTTGGTGGGTGTAGAAAATGTGTACAGTAAAACACAAGAAAATTTAGATGTACTAGTACTGTAGAGCCAAAATGAAGCTGCATAAACCTTAAGTAACTGAGAACAAACACAAAAGCAAGTGACCTTAATTGTTGCTCAATATATCAAATACATAAGAAGGATCACAAAGTGTACATACTTGACAAAGAACCGATATGATGACACCACCTTCACCTTCATATTCTTCTTCTTTATCTTTTTCTTTAGAAGGCAAGTTCCAGTTTACATCGTTTATATCTTCAACTGCCTGAGTAAACTCTTCTAGTCCATAAAGATGGAGCATGTCGATGACACACCGTAAAGCCGTCAGTTGAATCTGTTCTACATCAATTCGAGAAATCTGATGAAAAAAAAAAAATAAATAAAAAATAAATAAATTAATTAATTACACTCATCACAACAAATACTATTTGGTGTGCACGCGCACACACACACACACACACAGTAGATCCTCGATAAATCGTACCAATTGGTGCAGACCCCAGTCAGAAAAATGCGAGTCCGAAAAAAGCGAATGCTGTACCTGTACAGTGATATCTCCATTAGCCGGAACAATTGGTGCAGAGCACTTCCAGTAATGAGAGATTTCCGGGTAATGAGACAACTTTCCCAAAACCAGAAAAAATCCCTCATCCCCGGAATTTTCTGGGTTACGGAAATATGTTCTTGGAAGTTCATGAATGATGTATATTTCATCTTTCAAAGCCGGAAAAAATCCCCCATCCCCGGAATTTTTTGGGTAACGGAAAAATTTTCTCATTAGTTTCAGAATGATGCATTATTTCATCTCTCAAAGCCAGAAAAAATCCCTCATCCCCAGAATTTTCTGGGTAACGGAAAAATATTCTCGGAAGTTACAGAAATTGTGTATTACAGTACAGGTGCTCCTCTACTTAAGAACGTTCAACTTACAAACTTTCAGAGATACAAACATCATCACTGAGGGGGGTTACCTGCCAGGACAGGTGTTTAATGTGGATGAGACTGGATTATTTTGAAGAAAATTCTGGTTTGAACAAACATTACCAAAGAAGTGAAGAGTGAGCCAGGTTTTAAGGCTGTATTAAAGGGTATAGCTGTACTAAATATCCATAATCTTCCATTTTTTACAATATGTTTGGTATCTACAAGAGTAAAGTTGGACTTAAAAACAAGCCTCAGGAACGTAACTCGCTCGTAAGTAGAGGAGCACCTGTATATCATTTCTCAAAGCCGGAAAAAAATCTCTCATCCCAGGAAATTTCTGGGTAACATTGCTTAAAAATGACAAATGAACAGGCTTTGTGTGAATTAAAAAAAAAGCCTAGGATTGCTTTGTTGTTCTTGTGGCGCAGAGGTCCAGGGTTCGATTCCCGACAAGTGAGGCATTGTTTGTATAGGGAAGTCTGTGTGCTATATGGACTGATGAGATATATATATGTAGCCTCGTGTTTCCTAGTTGAATTCGGTAAAGTGCTACTACGACCATATAGTTAGCACAGGCAATCCATGATGGAGATTCACGTTGCTTAATAAAGATGAAGAAACAGGCTTTATGTGAAATAAAACAAAGGCTAGGATTGCTTTTGTTCTACTTTGGGGTTGAAAGAAGTAAATTTTGGCAATTATCCCCTATCTTAGTATATACAAACTACATGTAGATAAAATACTATTTAATATAACAAATTAGCGAAAAAAAAAATATGTAACACAACTTAACTGCATAAACAGAATAAGATGTTGATGAGCAAGGTCCTTAGAGAGAAGACAGCAGAGTCCTAATGCCTGGACACCCTGGTTTCTGACAGTAGGATCCTCTGACCGCAGGCACAGCAGAATTAGATTTTCATGAAGGGAGTGAAGGGTAGGAGTCATCACTGTCAACTCAGGAGACTCTATCATATGACAAACAATCTTTAGACATTTACTAAGAGTGGCAGGATCTTTGCGCTCCTCTTGAACCTGCAACAAACAAATCATAAAACAATAATGTTGCTACACTACAGTATTACCTCTCCATACCAAACTTCTACATATTAAAATTCACTATATACTGAACCACTCCTCAGATTCCAGTACAGTATTACCTCTCTATTCCAAACGAATTCACAATACTGTATATACCCAACCCTCTACTGAACCTCTCCTTAAATATAATACTGTAATACAATCCTGTGTGAGAGATGGGAGAAAAGATGGGCTGCTGGCTGGAGTGAGCGGAAAAGTCATTCCTCCGATCCCACACCCCTTTAATATGACATGACGCAATTTCACCTTAATTCCCATATCAAATTCATTTGGTTCCAGGTTTATATAATATTATCACTAAATAATCAAATTTTCAGAAGAAAAAAAAAAGATGGGTTATTGTGTTGTATTAAATTCCTGGTGCTTGGTTTACATAGATGAACAATTGACTTGCCAGCAGCCAGAGAAGGAGCTGTTTATGACTGTAATACAGAACTACTTTTTGTAAAATATCAGTTTCTGTATAATTTGATGTATTCCACTTCTAATAATGTACTGTACAGTACTGTACAGTACTTAAAATGTTAGCTTAGATAATTTTGAACGAGGAGGTTGTGAACATATTGGTGTATTTTTTCTCATGTTTATTAGAAGTGACAAAAAAGCATTTCACACAGAGGCATTAAAGTTTTGAGTACAACACAAGAGATGCTGCAATGCAGGCAATGGTTGAGCAGAAACAAAGGGAGAGGAGAGAAAAGAAATGCTGCGCATGCATGGGACTAACTCATTGCGCTGCGAGAGAGGCTCGTAAGGTAGCCACCATCTGCTTGCCAAGAATAGTCAAAATCTCTAATCACAAACCCACGAATAGCAAGGATTTACTGTATACTTGACAAATTCATGAGTGAGGTAACAGTGGGAGTCGCAACTCAGGAATGTTCACGCATCTTCCACAATATAACACAGCAATAAAATATTAAACCAATTGTTTATTTATATTATTATATACATGACTTTCTTACTTGAATCTAATGGGAAGAGCTATGAAGACCAGGGGAAATGTTGGGTTAAGCATGCACAAAGATTGATTTTTAAAATTCTGAGCTATGAATTGGACCGTGCAACCCCCAAAATTGCATTGAAAAAAATTCAAACCAAGAGTTAGAACAGGCAACCCCCAAAAGTCTAACCAAGGAACGTTGTACCAAAATTACCTTTTTTAGGTCATCATTCTTGTTTGGAGCTTACGTGTGCCATATTTTGTCTCTTATTTTTTAAAACCGACCTTCCGTTTTAACCCCTCATTTTCCCTGGTTTTCAAAGCTCTCTGCACTTCTAAAGAATTTCAGATTTTAGGAATTTGCTTTCATTAAGTAGTTACTATGAACATATCAAGAAAGAATTGCAAACAAACATGTGTAATGCTGTCTTTTATTTTGAGTTACTTAGTGTTTTATAATTTACTGTAGACTTATTCTAATATATATGAGACTATTAATAATTTTGTGGTTACTTTTTACTTTCAGTACCTCAGTACTTTATGAATGAGATACTTTTTTACTTCTATTTGAGTACATTAAACTCAAGTTGATAATCTTTCTTCCCTTTCTCTTCGCCGCAATGTTGCTTCACTCTCTCTCTCTCTTTTACAGGTAATTTAACGGGCAATGATCAGTGGATTTGGCATCCTGTGTACCGCCGGCAGGGCCGTGGACTTGTAACATTCATCTTGCCCGCGGTGCCCACCGTTTCCCTGTGGATGTCGGTCACACTAGAATAACCCACTATAGTGTATCCTTCGTTCCTCACAGCCAAACTGTGGAATGCTCTGCCTTCTTCTGTGTTTCCATATTCATACAATGTCTCACTTGTCTATTTGTAAGTTCTTTTTCTTCTTATCCCCCCAGGCCCGTTGTGGGTCGATGACCTGTGCCCGGGTTGGCTATTTTCCGTAAAAAAAAGTAACATTTCATAAATGTAACAAAACTTTTACTTACATAGCAAAGTTCAGTACTTTTTATTACTCTGTATCTGCCTCATTTCTCACCCCCCTAAACCACTGTCAGCACACACCTGTTTTATCAAGTTTCAAAGTTGTGAATCATTCTTCCCTTTTTTTTTCATATTCATTATTATGATGAAGTTTTATGTCATATAATATATATGGGTCATTCAAATAGTAATTTTTACATACTATACTACTGAATGGGTAAAGACCCATACTCAGTTTAGGAACCTAGTTGTAGTGGCTCATAGGACCCATTAGCAACATTAACCAAGCACTTCATTACATACCGTATATTATGGCATATAAGACGCACGGCCATTTTAGCAGGGCGTATTTAGGGAAACACTTTTGTGTGTATTTTCCTCCTGTAGCCATAGTTTTCTTAAAATAATATACAACCACTCCTCGACTTACAACCACCCGGACATACGACCACCCCAGTCGTACCAAATTTTTTTTCAAATTACGTATTTTCAAGTCCCAACGTTAGTGATTGCGCTGTGTACTGACAAAATTTTCGTTTGTAATTCCCTTTAAAATGGCTGGCAAGCTTAAAAGTGAGAGTTTTGTGGTGCTGAGAAGAAAAAGCGACACCCATTTGAGATTTTCTATGTACAGTGGTCCCTCGGTTAACGATTTACCTCCCATAAGATTCTTAACTTCGGTTAACGAGCAATCCCTCGATTAACGAGTTTTTTACGAGCCGACTTCAACATGTTTTCGCTTGCATTTGGCGGTCCACCAGCTGTAGTATTAGTCCGCCAATACAGTAATCGGTTTTAGGGCTTAAATTCCTTACTATTTTAGTAAATATCAAGAAGTTTATACTATTCAATAATTTTAAAAGTTTAATATTAACTTTTTTAGTCATTTTAACAATTATTGAGCATAATTGAAGGTAAAGAAACTAGTTTCTGGCGTGCCATCCAGCCTGTTAACACACCAGACAGGCGTTAGTCTCTCTCTGTTTTCAGTGGAGGTAACATCTTGCTTGAGACTCTCTTCAACTAAACGCTTTTTTCTGTTTCCAAACAAATTATTGGTCATTTTGAAATATATTTTACATATTGACAATATATAATGCAGTGCAGTGTTGATTTAAAGAAAATAATCTTGAATTACACCAAGAGCTAAAATTTTATGGGTAAAATGGCACCATGGGGTGACTTCTCTTCCACCCCAATGCCTTCTCTTCTTCCTTCTCCTCCACCCCCATTCTAATTCCCATCATCATCATCCAGGAGCCTTCTACATACACACCTCAAAGTAAGTGTACTTTTCTACCTTTTTTGTTGAATTTAGGCAATTTTCGGTGAGCTGGAACCAATTACCCAAAAACCCATTGAAACAATGGTTTCGGTTAACGAGCAACCTGCTGGAACGGATTGTGCTCGTTAACCGAGGGACCACTGTAATATTTTCGCATTTTCGACTTACGACCTGGGTTTGGGTCCCTAATTCCGTCGTAAGTCAAGGAATGGCTGTACTGTATATAGTACCAGCAAATATGAGGAATAAATAAAAATAATACCAGTAAATCAGGTACAGTACAACAAAAAATATTGTATTGCCAAACCGGTAAATAAAACCCAAATGAAAGTTTAACACAGTTGCCATTTGCATATAATCCCTGGCTCACCATAGCAACGCAGGCACCACCTCCACCGATTACCTCGCAAAGTTCCCCCCGCTTCCCCACTGAGCTAGCCAGCTAACTCCTGTGTAAAGAAATGTATATTCCCTTAACATGTTTCTTCTTAGGACAATTATTTCTTTTACTTTTCACAATAAGTATGTAGGCTGGTGTGTGCATGTAAATGAGTAAAAATAAAGTTATGTATACAGTACCTACCCAAAAATACAAGATGAAACCAACCATAACACCAGTAGCCTGATGCTCATAGTGACGAGTCTAACCTAGCTATAATGCTGTTAGCGATGTTAACAGACGCAAATGTGAAAAGAAAGTTATCTGTAAATCTTCATTTGTATTAGGTATTTGTAATTTAAAAATAAATGTTGCAGGTATGGTATTAATAGATTATAATGTTTGTAAGAGTTTAGAAGTGGTTACTGCTTAGCTACCTCTGAAGAGTTGGATGTTTGCTGTATGGACATTAATCAAGTACAGAGTAGTTATAAATCAAGCTTTTATAGTTACAGTACAATACTTTTTTTAATTAATTAAAAATAATAATTAAAAATAATAACAATGTGTTTTAGTAAGCAATAACGTATTCTGGAATTGGGTTAGGTAGAATCTAGCCTACTGGAGACAGCTAACTGGGGGAGTGATTAGCTTATGGAAGACCTCAACTTCACATATAGAATGCAGACTTTTTTTTAGCCATTTTTCAGACAAAAAGTGCATCTTATATGACGTAAAATATGGTATGTGCCTGCTGTTTTATATGACTTCTGACATTCAGCTGTGATCTTGATTTGATACAGGTTTAAATGCAATGTTCATTGGTTAGCAGAGAAACATAATCACAACTCCAGAAATCATAAACCTGACACATTTGATAATTATAATTAAAAAATTTGAGGAAAAATTACAACATTGCATTGCCCGATCCCAACAGAATGTTATACAACAAAAAAGAATTACAAATAAGAATGGTTAGTGTGAGGATAAACAATAAATGAATACATATTATGATCGGTTAATTTACAAATACGTACAGTACTGCTATACACAAAACACCACTAACAGCAAAACAACAGCGAACAAAATCAAATTGGCTACTGTGTTGTTTATATGTAGCTTGTGATCAATTCTGAAACCCAAGTTTGAACCACTAAACCGTTATAAATTAACGGAACCATATTTCTATGGAACAAAACCAAATTCTACGTTGTTTAGGAAGAGTCTGGTGGAAAGCTTACCCACATTTGTATTAACTTACCTCCTCTGATATTGTGGACTCTAAGTCAATGAGAGATTCTTCTTTAATAGCATCTTCCAGTGCCTCCTTGAGCACCTGAGCTCTCGTTAGGTCTAGGCTCCGTACACATTCTTCTACCTCTTCTCGCAGCTGGTTAATCTTCACTTTCAAACGAGCAACCTGGGAAAAGCAAATTTCAATGAGTTTGCGGACAATTATGACCAAATTACGGAATCACAAGCAATCAGACACGTTGATTTGCGTTTCAGAATTATGAGAGAAGCAGAAAAGGATAACATCCCCAAACAGTGACAGAAGAATTGGAAGGATGTCTTGATTTAAGAGCCATGTATTTAAGTTACAGTTGTCATAAGGAGATCCAAATTTTATAAGCCATGGTTTGACACAGATGGGTACACATGCCATACTTTCAACAAGTCAACAAATGAATCTGGAAAATAACAAGCTAAAGTAAAATAAGAGTCAATGGACCTCAAAACAAATTAAAAGGACTTAAAATCATTGCAGTAAACCCTCAATAACTCAGCATGGATATGGTCTTGGAATGCATTAAAGCATAACTCGGGAAATGCCGAGATATATAAAATCATCTGGAAAAATCTCTGCATATCGGGCTACCTGCATCACCTACCATACCACTGTGTCACCTACTATGCATCTGTGTCTCCTACTATGATGCTTCATTCTTTGCCTGCAGTGCTCGTAAGTGTTACTTTTTTTTACATTTAGTAATCACATGTACACATACTGTATATAGGTTAATAATTTTTTATTGTTTTATTTTTGTAAGAGGGGGAAGTACCTCGTTAAGTTGGAATTTGGGATAACTCGGCAAGGCCAGAGCCCCATATGTGCCGAGTTATCGAGGGTTTACTGTATCTTCTTTTCTGATATTTGCCTAAATACAATACTGTAGTACACTAATACAAAACACTACAGTAATTGGTGATATTAAAAAAAAATATTTGAAGTCTTATACTGTATACAGTACAGTAAGATCTTATATTTTGCGAGTAATATAGACTGGAAAAATTGCGCCAAATTCAAATTCGCCAAATGCAAATACAAAAACTAATGGAAAAATAACAATATAGACTGGCCACTCTACATCAACCTCTGATTTTCCCATTTATAACCTCCAAATGATACAAATTCTGCCTTTACTGACCTGATTGTTCACCCGGGAAGTCATGAAACTGACTCAAGAGAAGTGTGTGGCTGCTGCCTGTATGCCCTGATGTCACACAGGGGGGAGGGAGAGTGCGGCTGGCCAGTTACAGCTCACGACCTCAATACGGATGTACACTTCCCACACATACACACCCATGCTCTTCATTTTTCTTATTTTATAGTATATTGTATACTATAAAACACAGTGCTGCACTGTATTGTATACAGTGCATTTTGACATTATTCGACAATTTCCGAATTCTTGTGTTCGATTTATTCGTTGATTTTTTGCACCTTATTCGCATCATTCCAAAGATTGTTCCTCATTATTCCAACCAAAAAACACTTATGCTGTAATATAAAATATTACAGTGTTCAGCTGCCTGGATCTCGCATTCAAGTGGCTGGATCTCGCGAAACTCACGATATTTTACGCCAAGTATAAGACTTGGTTACATGAGGTAGTGCTCGCGAAATATGAGATCTTACTATATATATATATATATATATATATATATATATATATATATATATATATATATATATATATATATATATATATATATATATATATATATATATATATATATATATATATATATATATAGAGAGAGAGAGAGAGAGAGAGAGACTAAATATGTAAACAAATATGGCTTATTGACAATAACAGTCAGTTTAGCCAGTAATTCCTACCTGTAACTTTCTGTTTCGCTTTTCCTCATCAGTCAATATTCGTGGGACTGACTTGCAAACAGGCTCCCGCACCTCAGAAATTATCTCAGCTAACTGGTTGATTCTGGTTGTGGGAGGATATAACTTTCCAAACACTTCAACTAGTACCTTCATTAGGAACTCGCCCACTTTGTCTGATACCAGCAGTGTTCTCACTAGCTGATCCAAGGAACGACGCCCAACCTTGTTGTATTGGAAAAATATGGAAAGAATTTATTTACTTTTATATATATATCTTTACCCATATCAAAACAAATAACCTTTTTTTTTTGTTTTGTTTTTTTAGTTTATCACTAAAAGAATAATTGCATATGAAATAGATTATATTACAAGACTTATTAATATTACCATACCTCATCAGCAAGGTCATAAAGCATGGTCATTTCAGCAAGCTGATTGGTGACAAACTCTTTCTCCATACATCGAACAGCTGTCTCTTCTTCACTTCCAATCTCCAATACTTCCATCATCACATAGTCATGCACATATGAGCAGAAATGCGTCAACTCAGGAAGTACCGAGTCTAAGGCTTCCTCAGCACCCTCATTCCTGCAAAATAAAATTGAATACTCCCAGGTTGGTGATAGTTACAGTACAGGTAATATAATTACAACATACATACATACATACATATATATATATATATATATATATATATATATATATATATATATATATATATATATATATATATATATATATATATATATATATATATATATATATATATATATATATATATATTATATATATTTTATATATTTTATATACTGTATATATATATATATATATATCTTGATAAAATCACACGGGAAGATGGAAACAACGGAGTACCTTAGCTTTCGTCTTTATTCAAGACATCTTCAGAGGCAACTGGATTACATGGACAGAGAGAGGCTTAAATATACAGGGTGACCTAAAAACATGAGGTCAGGTCAAAATGATGACATCCACTAATCCCCACACCAACACACGTAGAGGAGCTTAAGAGAAGGGAGGTGACGTGACTAGACAAGTCAGGTCAGAAAATAGGGGGCCCACAAAATAACTATCATACATCTAGATCAAAGGTTTTCAAAGCATTTTTAACCTTGGGCCACTGACAAATAAATTTATGTAACATATTATCAGTTTTGAACTGTCATTGTGGATCTACATGAAATATATATATATATATATATATATATATATATATATATATATATATATATATATATATATATATATATATATATATATATATATATATATTGATAAAATCACACAGGAAAAAGGGAAACAATGGAGCACCTTAGCTTTCGTCTTTATTCACGACATTTTCAGAGGCAAATGAATTACAAGGACTAAGAGAGGCTTCTGTACACAGGATGACCTTACAAAACATGAGGTCAGGTCAAAAACATGATATCCACTAATACACACACCACCACCACTGCATCACAAGAGGAGCTTATAAGAAAGGGTGACGTAACTAGTCATGTTAAGTCAGGTAAAAATTATATGAGACCAACTAATCATCTATCCTACATCTACCTCAAATGGAAGTGTTTACTGCATTCCATGTAGCAATTGTAATGGAAATTATGTCGGTCAGACTGGGAAAGCATTGCAACTCAGAAATAAACAGCACCAGTACAATATTAGAACAGCATCTGAAAGCACACTCTCATATCAGCTGATCACTAGTAAACAGACCATTTCACGTCCCGTAATTTAACCCTTAAGCCCCGGATGACGTTCCAGAACGTCCGACCAGTGCGCCCCAGGTGATGTTCCAGAACACGCCACTGTTTAAATGCCCAGCGCGGGTTATCAGGATCCAGTGTGACACTTTGCCCATCACAACACACACTCGACCACAGGGAAGCTTCCTGAACATAATTATCTACTTTTGTTTGTTTCAGTTTCATTGTTTGTCTATTTTATCATATTGTATCATAGTAATATTGCTAAAAGTAGTGTAGTTGTATTGTAGGGTAGTATTACTGTAAAACACTGCTATGATTGTGTTATAAATATATTTATTTGTGGAATTATTATTATTTTATGCATTACTTGCTCTACCAAACACAAAGACAGCCAGACAGCCTAGTGACCGACTGGTGAGTGTTGCCAAGAACTTTTTATTAAAAATAATGCAAATAAATTATTCTAAATGAATTTATAGCAAATAAGTATTAAGATCAGTAAATATATACATTATTGGCCACCTCGGACATAAAGGCGAGCTAAAAATAGCTGCTAAGTGCAAAGGGACCACGAGAGTCAGCTGTCAAACCAATGCTGTCTCCTAATCTCCCCCCGCCTCCCTTCCTCCACACGGCCAGGGAAGTTTCTCGAGGGTCAAAATATAGTTTATCTTACTTATTTTTTATCGTTTTATAATTTCAAAGGGTGAAAAATTTTTTTGGGAGAAGTAGATTTTTCTCGATTGACCAGCACCCGAACCCGGGGCTTAAGATTTAAGCTGTGTTAATTTATGAGTGTTTGTTTCAGCATAATACTACAAAAAACAGTGTTTTGTGTATTCTAGATGGGCTGAGGTGCATCTGGGTAGACTCTCAGTCAGGGCAGGGGGAGGGCCAGTGAGGTGAGGCAGCAGACAGTACAGTGCAGTGCAGTACTGTCCGGCTCTCTCAGCTCTATTGCAGGGAGTGCTTGCTGCAAATAGGGTATATCATTACCGTATGCTATATATTTTTCTCATATTCATTAGCTAATAAGAGTCTTTTCAGTATTTTGTGTTTCTCTCAAGTATCAAACTAAATTATTCCATTGAAACCACCTTGATTTAGTGTGAATTCTATTTAAAGCGACCTCTCTTGGAACTCACCTCGCATTATATCGACGTTCTACTGTAGGGGTGTATCATTATTCATATTAATTAATGGGTAAAATTTTACTTTAACTACCGTAAGTATATGAAGGCTTAGATTCGAGATAGGCTATATTGGGTAAATTTTAAGTTTTGGTCATCCCTGTACTTAGACATGCAGATTGTATTATTTTTCTGATGGTTTGGGATGTGTTATGAACGATTTGACCTTCATTTCTATCAGAAATCACTAGTTTCGAGTTACTACACCCCGCTCCCCCCTTACCGGTGTATATTAAGCTAATCTTATAACGTATAATATAATTTATCATACTCTAACCTAACCTAACCTAACCTACGACTTGTACTTTCTTATGCGATAGAAAAATGTTTTGCGACAGAAATCCTGTAGAGATAATGTGTCTTATTGTTTAAAGTACTTAATCCCATAGTGAGAATCTTAAGGTTCCCCAGATGACCAAAACCAAAATAATACCAAAATTGCTTGGAGTTTATACTATGAAATTTGTAGTATGGGCAGCAAATATCCATTAAATTAGTTAATGTGCTTAGTAATATAGTAGTCAATACTGTATAGTATTACTGTGTTGGACAGTAAAGCACAATTAATTATCTAATATTTATTTACAGAGCCGATCAGCCGAGAAGGTTGGACAACTACTTCCAAGCCCATCCCCTGGTCGTCCACAACATTAAATATATATATACATTAGTGACAAAAACTTACATTTTCCAGACATGAAATAAAGAGGAGTGATGAAAACTTCCATTTTGCCCCTAAATTTGTAAGAACTCATTCAGGAGCACTAATACTGTATTGAGTGTGAGGAAATCAAATTTTTAACAAATTTTGCAAAAACGGTAGGTATTACAGTACCTTTGAGAAATTTTATTTTTGACGATACCACCGTTTGTCTTGGAATTGGACATTCAAATTTGATTAAAATATGTCGAAAAAATTTAGATGCCACTTAAAGGCATTATTGACAATTGGCAGATACATGACAGGCAAAATGTGAACACAACAGTCAAAATGTAAACCTTTACTCAGGTGAGCGAAAGAGTTAATAAAGTTTTATATAATACAGTAATATGATGCTGCCAACAGTTTTCATAGACAAGGGTTTGGCATACCGTATTACTTTCCTCATTCCCTAAAACAAATACTCTTGATTGTCATGGGTAACCACCCAAACTGACCACAGTATTTGTTGATCACACAAACATTATATGTACCAGTAGTTTTTAAACCTCAAAACATTTAAGCAAGAATAGTACAGTACTCTATTGACAACCGTGCAAGATACTTAAAGCAGGTTATTCATCACCTTACTTATACCTATATCCAAAAATCAAAAAGAATTTTCTTTGAGAACAACCCAATTTCAAGGAAACCAGATTAGGCAATGCAAAATAATTTTACACACATACACAAACAAACAACCCCTCACCTTAGATGCTGAGCAAGACAACGCCAATATATAGCAGACTCGGGACGGAGGTCTTCTGGGTTCACCACACGTGTTTTTTTAGTAAGTCCAAAGTTGTCAATTAGATCAGCAAAAGGAACATCACGAAATATGGTTTTGAGAGCCAACTCTGCTTCAGAAACAGAGGCCTCAACATCTAGACAAGCAAGAAGATTTAAAACATTTCCATTCACCATCCGTAGCCAAGATGGTATAAGATTTTTTTCTACACAGGACCGTACCATTACATTACGATCCTTCAGTCCTTCTGAGATCAGTCGCAACCGCTGGGCAATTGTCAAGGATCTCAAGTGCACCTTCTGGGAGATTTCCATGTAAGCCTGAAAATAGATTTTATGCTTAATGCCCATCATAATAATGCCTGCCCTACCCCCTCACCTGAAATAAATATAAATGTGATATATATACAGTGGTCCCTCAGTTAACGAACGGTTAGATTAACGAATTACCTCCCATAAGGATCTTCAATTCGGTTAACAAACAAAACTTCGATTAATGAAATCCTTACGACAAACACGTTTTGTTGTGAGCATCAGCTGATCAGCTGATGGACTAGTTTGCCAATTCAGCTATCTGCTCTATGTTTACATTCATTTCCATTGGAGTAAATATCAAGAAAATTGTGCTCTTTAATATTTGTGCATTTTTTATATTAAATTATTGGTCATTCTAAAATTTAGCCATCCAAGCTGTCTACATAAAGTTTTTGAACTACTGTATTATTTTTGGCTCGATATATGTAACTTTATTCATTTATTGAAACTTATTTACATGCACACACTGTCCTAAGGGCAAAGCTGCACTGTACATGTAATCAAAATAATGTACAAACTGATTACTAAAATTTTTGTCTAGTGCAAACTATCACATGTTTACATTCAAATTAATCACAATCTTAAAAGAATTCCAGCAATATAAATTATATTCTCCCCGGTCACTTCTATTACATTTTATAAGCAAAAAAGAAAACTCAATCTAATGGACAAAAATAAACAAATAAACACTTCACTAGACCTTCAGCACTAACTGTCAAACATGTCACTGTCACCCCTCCCTCCTCCCAGCCAGGGTTTGGTGGTTATACAGTAGGCTTTAAGTTTTTATCTTATATAATATCACAAACTAAAGTTAGAATATAATTTATATTGCTGGAATCCTTGTAAGACAGTGAATAATTTGAATATAAACGTCACATATTTTGCACAAGATAAAAATTTTAGTACATTAGTGTACTGTAGTACATTTCATAATGCTAAGTTTTTCAACTGTATTTTTGGGTAGATTTACATAAATTTAATTTATTTTCATTCATTTACATGCACACACCATACTAAAAGAAACGTAAAAGAAATGAATGACCTAAGAGCAAACTTATACTATAAATGTACTAAATGATTACGGCATTAAAATTGTTGTCTAGTGCAAATTATAGCTGTTTATATTCAAATCAATCACTATCTTACAAGAATCCCAGCAATGTAAATTATATTCTCCCAGGTCATTTCACTGGCATTTTAAAATAAGAAAAGTTTAGTCACTTAAGGACTGTTAAATAAACACACGAGACCTTCGGCTCCAACTATCAAACATGTCACTTCACCTCCTGCTCGCTCGCTCCTTCTCTCTCCCCCAGCCAGGGTTTTAGGCTTAGTTTTTATATTATATAATATCTCAGACTAAAGTTAGGAGAATATAATTTGCATTGCTGGAATCCTTACAAGACAGCGAATAATTTCAATATAAACGTCATATATTTTGCATGAGATAAAAATTAATCACCTGTATCACATTACAGAAGTGATTTAAGAGTAAGAAAAGAAAAAAAAATTATATATACAGTATATATATATATAAATATATCAGCAAGCGCACACTGCCAGTGTTTTATCGCATTAACAAGAAAGCCTGGATGACCCCAGTACTGTATAAGGATTGGTTCATGAATTGTTTCATTCCTCGAGCTAAGGAGTATTGTCTGCAACAAGGGATTGCATTCAAGATTTTGCTGATTTTGAATAATGCTCCGGGACACCCACCACACCTGGACGACCAGCACCCTGATGTTAAGGTAGTCTACATTCCACCTAACACTACCTCTGTCATCCAACCCATGGATCAAGGTATTATTGCAGCTTTTAAAGCAAATTATTTACGTATGACCTTCGCTCAGGCTGTTGCTGCTTCTGAAGGTGAGAAAACGCTCAGACAGTTTTGGTAGGAGTACAACATTTTGACATGTATAAAGAACATTATTGTAGCATGGGATGAGGTTACACAACAGTGCATAAATGGAATATGGAAGAAAATACTGAAAAGATATGTGAACAGTTTCAGAGGATTTAATGAAAATGAAGTTATTTCTGAGATTAATAACAAGATAGTGGAGTTAGGTAAACAGCTTGTTAGAAATTGATAATGAAGATGTTGAACAGTTGGTTGAAAGTGTAGCAGAAGAGCTAAGTAACGAGGATCTTGTCGAACTGGAAGCACACAAAAATGCAGAGGAAGAAGCGAGTCGAAATGTAGAAGGACCTGCACCCCTTAAAAATTTTTCAGTGAAACAAATGGCAGAGGCATTTGCTACAATTAATAAGGGGATGCAAATGTTTGACGGAATGGATAAAAAATTATGAGCATTTTGCCAAAGTTGACAGAATGGTCCAAGATGCACTTGCTTGCTACAGGGAAATTTATAATGAAAAGAAAAAGCAAACTGTGCAGTCTAAATTGGACATCTATTTTAAGGAGTCCCCCATTGCTGTCTCCTCACGCCCCACCAGTGCTGCCTCTTCACTCCCTAAAGATGATCCAATACTTTCAACCAGCAATTTACCACTGTACATAAACCTGTCTGAAGAAAGCGACATTGATGACCCACCCAGCCCTGTCTCCTCCTCTGCTTCATCCAATTAATATAGTCTCCATGTATCCTGTAAATAGAAAATTATGGGGGCCTCGTGCATTCAGCCGACTACATTAAAGGTAAGTGCTCAGTCACACTGTATCCATTCTTCATTATTGGTTATTTTTACTGTACAGTTAACCCTCACTTTACGCGGTTAATGTAACCCGGAGGGTCCCGCGTAAAGTGAGAAACTCGTAAAGTGAATAACATAACATGTGGGATTAATTGAAATGGAGTCCGGGCCGATCCCCAAACTCCACTTTTTGACGACACACAACTATGTTGTAGTAAAAATATTATCTTAACTTTATGATGGTATGCACACACAATTAATAATTAAGAGAAATATCAATAATATTAGGTTTTTTAACACTTACATTAGTAGAAAAAATGGCTGGGCACACGGGGATGGGCGGTTGGTTCCGAGGCAGAGGGCAGATTATTGGCCCTCACCTGTGTCACTTGTATCAATTGTATCACTATCCACCACAGAGGCTTGCAGGGCCTCTTTGTCAAACTCCCCAAAGTCCATATAAGTCCATATCCTCACCATAATTATCACTATCACTGACTTGGGCCGGCTGTGGTGGGTGGCGGGTGAAGAACTGGTAATGTTTTGATGACTGGGCGACCTTGTGCGCACCATGTTCGCGCCGCTTACACAACATGGCGGATGGCGGGAGGTTTGGATCCAAAAATGGCGCGGCTCGCCAGCCGCTCTCCGCGTAAAGGGGTACACGCACCGCGGAATGTGAGCATCCTGGGTTCCGGCAGGGCACCGCGTAAACGCGGAATGTGGGACCGCGTAAAGTGAGGGTTAACTGTACTGTATTTCATTTTAATTTTTTTTGCATTTCCGACTTACGACCTGGATTTGTGTCCCTAACCCCATCGTAAGTCGGGTAGGAGCTGTATTCATTCACAGTGTTGCATGTCAGGCGTGCATTCATTTGTGTGTGTGTGTGTGTGTGTGTGTGTGTTGATGGCGCAGTGGTGGTGATATAGTACAAGTCGTGTGAAGAAGACAGCAGACGATGCATCACCGCTACTGCAATCCAGTTGACTTTCATAACATCACACTGTATATACTTGTGTAGTATTTAGAGTGCTTAAATGGATTTTTCTAACTATATTTATTTTCGGTCCTAAATTTATGGTACACTACATTATTAAAGATAGGGTATATACATAATACTACATATTAAAGAATGTTATTCACGAAATTCTACATTTGTGGGTGTCCCAGGAACCTATCCCCAAGGGCAGATTTATGAAGGATCCTGACTCCCCTCCCTCCCTTTTCACAAGAAAATTCCAAATACTCTTTTCTTTAAAGCAGTATTGTACTCAGGCATTTTTGTATAGTAAAAAGTATTTACTACTGACTTCAGAATATCTCCTACTATCAAGTGCGCATGGCTTCAAAATGCCCATGATATTGGTCAATTTAAAAAATCTTCTGGTGAGCTTCTGGGTGGGTGGGCTCGCTGCACTCGCCATGTTCCCCCCACCCACAACTTCCTGGACCCCCCTTCCTCCTTTTGACATTCTTGGTTCTGCATGTGTTGTCTAATGGTAGACCCTGCTGCCATATGGCATCACGAAAATTGTGACCAAGTCCAAGGTTACTGATCTGACTTTCAGCCTCATTTGCCCACAATTGCAGGGTCTCAATTGTTTCTCTTACTTTGACAACACAACATACATACATCATTTCTCACTATTGATTTTTTTTTATTTCTGTATTTATTTATGGTTCTTATTTATTATTATTATTATCATTATTATTATTAGTGTTGTTATTATGATTATTGTTTTTTTTATAAATTTTATTTACAATGAACTAATTATTATTATTTTTGTTATAATTATTATTAAATTTTCGCCCTCCAGACCCCGATGTGGGTCAGTGACCTGTGCCCAGGTGGGCTAATCCTGTAAAAAAAACAAAACAATAATACTGTACAGTAATAAAAAAATAAAATAAAATAAATAAATAAAATAAAAAATCTCACAAATGTTGAGGTACTAGTGTACAGTACTTATAAGAACACCAGCTTTTATTATGTTTTTATTTATAAATCTGAACATACTCGGTACTCTTTGCCATCTTAATAGAATAAATAGCTAATTAAGAAATTTTCAAGACCTGCGCTCTTGGCTGAACAATATTTACCTGGCGCCGAACCAGGTCCCTGACATCACGGGTACGCTCCAGAATATCAGGTAAAGTTTGGAATGTGATGGCTATGTTTGACAGAACAGCACGTCGAACATCAGGATTTGGGTCCATGCACATATGATAACGGTAAGCTGCAAATAAACATCAAAAGATTTAAGTATCCAGCAACTTTTAAGCTATTTAGTATACAAAACATATTTTCAGCTGACAGCAAAACTGACAACCTGAATTAATGTATCTAAACAGGAACAGATCTGGAAGTTTTAAAATGGGAGGGGTGAACATCAAGCTGTTAACAGAATGCCAGGTCTCACTGGAAACAGACTTAAAACGAGTGAAATTGTCTCCTTCAAACCAAACTGATTTGATTGGAGCAGAATATATCTAGTAAAGTATTAAGAGCATGAATGACCGTAAATATGTAGTCCATATTCATCTTGATTCTATCCACCCTGAACTACATCAAGACTGTGAGAATCATAATCAGGCTAATCTGCACTGGAGTCCCTTAATGAACAGCATTACAGGAAATGATGAACTAAATCTCATACAACTGATTTACAGATGAAGAAAAGATATGGAAGTACAGGATGACAATCTCAGTGCTTAGTACCAAGAAATATTAAGAGCAGAATCTCCAAAAGTATTCAAGACCAAATGAAGGAAAAAGCAAGTACAGTGGTCCCTCCATTAACGAGTGGTTTAATTAATGAGATTTCAGTTCACGAGTTAGCGCCCAGAAGAACTTTGTTCAATTAACGAGTACAAATTCTATTAAAGAAGGCCTTTTGAGAAACACGTTTTGGTGCGAGCATCAGCTGATAGACTAATCCGCCAATAATCGGTTCTATGTTTACCTTTGTTTCCAGGGGAGTAAACACCGAGAAAGTTGTGCTCTTGAATATTTTGGCAATCTTACATTAAAATTATTGGTTATTCTGAAATTTAGTTAACATATTGATAATATACAGTGCAGAAATTAAGAAATACAAAGGCATTAGAACCAATGCACTCGGTAAAGAATATGGTAAGTCGTCATCGAATGTGTCGACAATCAACCGTTTGTGCTGACACAAATGTAAACAAAGCCGCCGGGAATTCTACCTACACATCTCAAATTAAATGTTAAAATATTTTATTTATTATTGTACCAGTATACTGTACAATACTGTATTTTGTTTATATTTAATGTTTTATTAATTCTATTACCAGTATACAGTACTTTGTATATACCTTTTAATTCACTTTACGGGAATTCTGTGAGTTGGAACCAATTGCCCAATTGAAATAATATATTCAGTTAACGAGTGACTGTGGAACCAATTGTGCTCGTAAATGGAGGGACCACTGTATTGATAAAGGGGGATGAGTGAAGGGTCTATCAAGATGTACAAGGAACTAAATGAAGAAAAACTAAAATATGGTTTAATATCAAATCAAAATTTTCACATTCTTACAATGCCAACAGAAAAGGCTGATTATGAAATTAATCCAAGATCTTATTGCAATATCTCTATCTACCAAGTTTGGTTAAAATTCATTACCATTTACAAAACTGTCACATTCACAACTCTCATATGCATGCACAGAAAGTAGGAATTCGTATGGATGGCAGAATAAAACAAGGGAGTGTATCTTAGTTGACTAGATCATAATACAATACAGTATAAAGTTTAGGGTAACTCCACCATCCTTTATATCTTTCTCATGCCCTTACATAATGTGTTTATTTTACTGTATTCACCTTTTATAACTGGACATTCTTTGTTACGGGGATCTTGTAGGCGAGCTAAAGCTAATACAGCCTGCACTCTCACTAGTGGCACTTTGTCCTGAAGGCGATGTAGCATGGTGTCATAGATGTTGTTGTACAAATCATCATCAATAACTGCTTCTTCACCCATGTGGTTGAGAAGTTTATTAATCAGCTGACAAACACGATAGCGAACAGCTTGGCTATTAGCCTCATGGTTCTGTAGAGAAAATACAGGAGTGGAGTTTCTTCTCAACTTGGGAAGAATCAAAGTAATCATGACTGTAATGTACACAGGTAAATAAATATAAATAATTTTCACTTGTGAGTGCTGGGATTGAAACTCTGACCATCAAGGTCAGCAATAAGTCCGCTATCCACTGGACCATGATGGGCTAATAGCTACCCACCTTAACCACTCTGTTGTGCCAGGAATTTAATTAAAAAATTCTCTAGGTCCCATGTGTGGGTGGGCTGACCTAAACCATCGGGCCCACTGTTGTGGGCATGGGACCTTGAGCTACAAGTGAATTGCCCGACTGCCAACCTTGGTGGTCCAGGTTCGAATTCCAGCACTCACAGGTTGAAATGGTTTATTACAAATGTGGTTGGAGAGGCTGAAACCCGAGATGATCATGAAGAGCAGAAAATAACATCTCAATAGATGTGGGATCCAGAGGTGGTCTCTTGGATTCTTTATCTGGGAATTTGTCACTACACTTAAGGACAATATGGATTGCTAAATGAAAGAGGCAGACACTTGGTGGAAGCCTATTCTCCATGGTTGACCTCACCCACACCCCCCACTTTCCTGTGGGGGCTGAGAGCAAGGTGAATGGACATTATATACAGTACTGTACTAATCATTCATTTCTGGTGTCTTTTTCAATGAAAGCAAAAGGAGACAATAAGCTTCATTAATCACTGCACTAAAACACAATCAATAAGAATACAGTATATGAGATTTACTTTAGCCACAGCATGAAACAGAGAAGTACATAAACCACACCAATACAAAGGAGATGTACAATCACGGTCGAAAGTAATCATCCACTCCACCAACAAACTCCTGCGCCTGGCTCGATCCTTTCTGCACGCTAAGTCACATTGGGTGGAGAGGAGGAATGGTTGACTTGGGGGTAGGCTGTTGGTTGGGGGGAAGGGAGAAGGGGAGAAGAGGGGAGGGAGGAAGGGGGAGGGAGGAAAGGGGGAGGGGAGGAAAGGGGAGGGGGGAAAGGGGAGGGGGGGGAAAGGGGGGGAGGGGGAAAGGGGAGGGGAAAAGGGGGAGGGGGAAAAGGAGGGGAAAAAGGGGAGGGGGAAAAGGGGAGGGGGAAAAAGGGGAGGGGGGAAAAGGGGAGGGGAAAAGGGGGAGGGGGAAAAGGGGAGGGAAAAGGGGGAGGGGGAAAAGGGGAGGGAAAAGGGGGAAGAGGGAGGGGAAAAAGGGGAAGGGGGAGGGGGGGGGAGGGAAAAGGGGAGGGGAAGGGGAGGGGAAAAGGGGAGGGGAAAAGGGGAGGGAAAAGGGGAGGGGAAAAGGGGAGGGGAAAAGGGGAGGGGAAAAGGGGGAGGGGAAAAGGGGGAGGGGAAAAGGGGAGGGGGAAAAGGGGAGGGGGGAAAAGGGGGAGGGGGAAAAGGGGAGGGGGAAAGGGGAGGGGGAAAGGAGGGGAAAAGGGGGGAAGGGGGAGGGGAAGGGGGGAAGGGGGAGGGGGAAGGGGAGGGGAGGGGGGGAAGGGTGAGGGGAAGGGGGAGGGGAAAAGGGGTGGGGGGAAGTGGGAGGGTAGTATGTGATGAAAGTTTTTCATCAGCGAGAAGGATGGATGTAATTTTTTTTCACTATAGTGTATTATCTGAGGTTTACATGCTTGAAAGAGTAATAGATGTATACCCTTATTTTAAACTTATTATAATGTATCATCCATTTCCTTATTTATATTTTTTTTCAGGTTTTAAACAACGGTAATTAGATATTTATAATAACATTGATATGAAAAGAAATATTGAATACAAGGAAGGAATTCACATTTATTTTTAATATTTACCAACACAGATCATATATTAATCTCAATAGCTTGTCCACTGCCCTCGTCACCTGTCAATTGTGGTATCCCCGGCCTAAAATTATATAATTTATATGAATTATGAGTTAAATTGTTTTGTTTGCATTACACACCTGAAATTAGTCACTTTAATATATCATATGCCAGCCTCTTTCCCAAGTTCCCAGACTCCTCCCAGCAGGTTAACCAACGTCTAGGAGTGACCCCAACCTCATTTTCAATTTCTGAGATGCTGTAGCCAAACACGCGCAAACCAACAATTCGACCGTGACTCCCCAATCGACACTCTTTAGCACCCTTCCTGGGCTGGGTGTGGTGCAATAGCCAAATGCCACAGAGGTTTTCCCTCACGTAAGCCAGAAGCTTCTTTAACCCTAATCACACATTATTTGCCACAAGCTCACTTCCATTCCTCACCAAAATCTCAAGTAAAGGCAGAGATAACTAAGGGAAAAGTTAAGTCCATGACACCTCACTGGACACCCACTCTCCTGGTTGGTTGATTGTTTGGGTTTTATGCCATCAACTGCCAGGGTCATTAAGGCCATCAACGTCAAGCTACATCTACCAACCTTAACACCTTCTTCTGGCAAGGATAATTCTAAAACTACTTCCACTCTTACTATATATTATGTGGCCCTTGACTTGTGTCCTCCTACCCTACCCAGATCTGCCACCTCTAGCTCTCCCCCATCAATACCTCCCTCACCCTCTTGTGACCCGTCATGTAGAAAGGCCTTGAGCTCGTGGGTATGGTAGGAGTGGATGATTACTTTTGATCACAACTGTACATCAACCAAAGCACTGGGACAGTGATCACATCAACATATCCAAACAAATATGAAGATTTAATGGCTTAACAGTACTGTACTGTACTTGTTAAATGCAAACTTACATCCAAGAGAAACAAAATCAGGTGAACCAGGAATGGATCTGCTTCTTCCTCTTCATTATCATTTTCATCGTCCTGATCTCTGTCTTCACCTTTTTTTTCTTGTTCAGTCTTTTTAGTAGTAGCAAATTTTGCCACAAAGTTCAGAGTTCTCTCAACTGAAGGCTGTTTGTCTCCATGAATTAAGGACTTTTTCAATAAGCTTGTAAATGCTGCCAGAAACTCACTGAGGTCACTCTGAAAAATAATTGCGAAGGTCATTATACAGTATAAATTTTCTACATGTCTGCAATAAGTATGAAGTTTTCTGCAATATAGGATGACAATGCACAATACTGTACAGCACAGTACAGTACTACCTAGACATATACAGTACAGTACCATACAGAGTAAAAAAAATAACCATCTCACTTGTCTAATGACCACCCCTACACTTCCATATTAAAATAAATAACTTGATAACTTAAGCTTCTACACTGGTCTAGTGATAAAGTCCTCAAAAAATAAACCAGTTAACAATAGACTGTACTCTACTCTAAAAAGAACTCCTAGTCTCTAAAGGGCAGTCGTTGCACCAAGTAACCTTCTTGTGTAAATGTTGGGAAAAGGAGGGAAGGTTATTCCTAAACAATGAAGCACTGCACTAACTTTGGTGATGCCAATCAAGAACCAATCACCAGCTCCTAATCATGTTGAAAGTTAAGGAGTAAACCAGCAAAATAATCATGTGCTATTTACCCACTCATAACACAGTACTAGTCTGTAATTTAAGGCAAGAGGGTTGAGTAGGTGATAGAAGACATGGTAGCCTTCTTGACAATTAAGGTTCCAAATGACAAGTAAAACTAAGACTTTACTTTTTTTACCTTTATTTTAATCAGACCTAAACTTAGTTTATTTAGACTCAAGAGATAGTATGCCAGGGGCTTCATAATATAGTTAAATTCTAGTAAAGAGCCAAACACCTCTTGTCTACCTAAGCTCCAGGATCAGAGCAGTGCTGCAAGATGCTCTAGAAACCCATAAGACCACTTACAGTACAGTACATGGTACATGTATTTGAAAATTTAAAAATACTTTTCCCAGTAAACACCCCTGTAACATACCTTCAAATAAATCTTGATCAAGGCCTTCACCAGCTTGGGGTGAGTTGCTGCTGTTTGCTGACAGTCTGTGAAAATTTGCTTCAAAGTAGACATTTCTGAACCCTGGAAAAGAGATCATAATTGTCAATATTACCAGTACTGTACATAAAAAAAATCCACTACTGTGTTGGCTTACAACATCTAGTAAATAAACCTTTCCTAATGTTAAATAAGCCCTAATTATAATTTTTTTTTCCTTATTTAACTGCTAGAGGAGCAGCGGGTGATTCTCTTTCTTTTTTTTAAAACCAGGTGTGTTTATCTGCACATGATAACAGCCAGGGTGACCATAATTAGCACTTTTGGGGTTTTCAGTCGTCTTCTAATTTGGTGTCACGATGAAGGCAAACACCAGCCTAAGATAAAGAAAAAATAACCGCAGCATTCCTTATAATACTAATTTTGAAATAAATTCAGCAATTCTGTTTGAATGAAAAATTTTGCACATTTTTAGCAAATCACACTTTATTCATGAATCCAGTATTTTTCCACCTGTAAAATCTGGTCACCCTGACAACAACCACAACATGATTCTGTATCACTTCCTGCTACAAGTGGCTTAATTTTAACCTCTTCCATCAGATAATAAAAGCTCACTCGTAACAATGGTTTTAAATTAGACAAATTTAGATTTAGGCGCAAAATAGGTAAACATCGGTTTGGAAATATAGTGGATGAATGGAACAAGTTACCAAACATCATCATTAACTTGAATACGCTGCATAGCTTCAAACATAGGTTGGATGGATATATGAGCAATAGGGGTTGGGTGTAAATGGGACTGCCCAGTATGGGCCAATAGGCCCGTGCAGTTTCCTCCATTCTTATGTTCTTATGCAAGTCCATTACCAATGAACAACATGAGATTGATGTGACCACGACTGGCAGCATTTGGCATTTATTTCATAGTCAGAAATCTATGAATGAAAAATGGTTCAGAGGTTACATATATAATATTTTTTCAGGCAACCCCAAAATTTTGGTTAATATATAGAACTAATCCGCCAGGGCTGCAAAGCGCCAATGCGGCGGTATCATCTCACGTCCAGAAAATGCCTCTAAATTTACCACTCGTAGTAAATTATTTCTGTTTAATATACCAAGGAAGTTAGGTAAGTTTGTCTGGTTTGGTTGGTTGGGTCTGTTCTTCATCCCCACAAATGTTAAGTAGCATTTATTTTTAAAATATCCATTTTTTAACATATTTCCACAAACTAAAACAGTCTCCACTATAATAACAATGAAAATCCGGCGTTATTTTATAATTGTTTTCAATCGATTTCGCCTACAGGTTAGTCCTATATAATTATCAAAATGTTTACCCAGCTCAAAAACTGAATTTGAGAATATGTGACTGTTACAGAAAGAACGTAGGTAGGTTTATTTGGTTAGATTGGCGAGGTCTTCTAACAATGCTTCTGTTGCTTGTTTTACATATCAACTAAAGTTAGGTTAGGTTTAATTTAGAAATAACCACTTTTTAACACATTTGCACAAACTACGAGTGTCCACTATAAAACAGTGAAATTCAGGCGCTTGGTTAATATTCGTCCATTGGCTGTCCACAGGTTCCCGCAATGTTTACCCGATTGTTATACTCCACACTTAAAGAGTCAGTTGTCTCCTCCCTACCTCCTCCTCCTTGTATGTTAGGTTAGGTTAGGTTAGGTTAGTTTGGTTCCTTTGCTTTGAGAATAGTTTTTTTTGTTTACTCAAATTTGACCTCCATTTTTTGGGCAAATTAGCAGTTTCTGTGAAAAATGAAAATGCATTTTTAAACCGTTAATTTACAAAAGAAATGAAGGTCAGATTTGAGTAAAACAATGAAAAACGTGAAGAAAAAAAACTATTCTCGTGCCAAAACCTGAGGGCAGCCAATGGACGAATATTTACCAGGCGATTTTATAATCGTATTCTAATCGGCAGTGGTCAGTAGTCAATTATTACCTTACAAACTTAATATCCTAAAATTCGCTGAATGACTAAAACGATTACAATATCTAAAGTATATAAACAAGTTACATATGAAAACTAAGACCATACACAACATATCAAATATTACTGGGGTGCTGGCTTGGATGATTACGCCTACAAACCTGACAACTGGCCAAATTCCCTTTTATTGCCCAATTTAATACTATCTCTCTATTAAAGGGTGAATAAAACTATACTACACAACCTTACCCCAAAGTTGATAACAAATCTCTCAGGATACATACCACACTAGTAAGGCGACGTATAGAGAGGAAAGTAAAGCTCCCGCCAAAAGGGTTTATGTTATGACGTTAAGCCGCTGTCTTCAAAACACAGCTGAGTGGGTGGTTCGTTTAAACTTAAATATATTTTAAATAAAACATATTTCAAATAATATAATGAAATCGGTATATTGTAATTGATTTAAGTATTCCGAAGTTGCTTATATAAGAATTTTTTGTCCCTAACATAAGATAGATACATTATATTTTACAATTGGTGAAAGGAAGAGGAATAAACTATTTTTTTTTTTTATCCTCTTCACCACTGATCGGCTTGTTAGCCGCTTGGGCGATCGGTCACGTCTCTGTCACGCACTGGTGGCAAATACTGGGCATGCACCGGCTCCTGAATGTACCTGAACCCGCTCCAGTGTTGGTCAAGTCTTCTCTTGAAAGAGCTCACACTCGGTGCCGTCACAACACTCTCTGGTAGATTGTTCCAAGGGTTTACAACCCTCACTCCGAAAAAGTTTCCCTCACGGTTTTCTGGACTTGCGGCTTCTTCAATCTTGAGCTGTGACCCCTTGTGGAGCGAGCGTCCGCCAGCTCCAAGTAAGGACACTCAACTGAGTAGTGCCCCCTGAGATGCTTATACACCTCAACTAGGTCCCCCCTTGCCCGTCTGTAGTATAAGCTAGGCAAGTTCAGGCGCTCCAATCTCTCAGGGTAGCTGAGGTGCCGAAGTGCAGGCACCAGTTTGGTGGCCCTCCTTTGAACATTTTCAACCAACTGACAGTCCCTAGCATATCTCGGGGACCAGATGGGGTGACAGTACTCCAGATGGGGAAGCACTTCACTCCTGAAGATCGTCACGAGGGACGGACCGTCTAGATATCTGAACGACCTTCTTATAAGACCCAATAATTTATTTGCCTGATTTACCTTCTTCTCACAATGGCCCGAGAACTTCAGCTCATTGTCAACATACACACCTAGGTCCTTCTCACACACAGTCTCAACTAGTGCATTTTCTTCATCCCGTTGGGACATATGATACGCCTCCTTACCGTTGGTACGCCCCAGGTACATCCTCTTACACTTCGTGACATTGAATCTCAGCAGCCATTTCTTCGACCATTCCTGGAGCCCACAGAGGTCCTTCTGCAGCTCTTCACAGTCCGCTTGGTTCTTGATTTCCCGAAATAACTTGTCATCATCGGCAAACATTTGTATGGAGGAGTGTACAACGTCAGGCATGTCATTTATGAAACAAACAAACAACAGCGGGCCCAATACACTACCCTGCGGTACCCCACTTGTTACAGGTACAGATGACGATTTCGTGCCATTAATCACCACACATTGCTTGCGGTCATGTAGAAAGTCTTCTATCCACGCTAGGACATTTCCCCGAATTCCGTACCCTTCCAGTTTGATTTTCAGCCTTTCGTGGGGTACACTGTCGAAAGCCTTGGCAAAATCTAGGTAAATATTGTCGATATTACCACCCCGTTCTAGAATATGGGTCCAAATATCCAATACCTTGAGCAATTGTGTCAAGCAAGAGCGCCCCGGCATAAAACCGTGTTGGCAATCTTTTACAAGGTTGTTTCGTAGTAGATGTTCCATCGCGGCATCTCTGATAATACTCTCAAGTACTTTACATATTATGCTGGTCAGGCTCACCGGTCTATAGTTGTTCGTGGAGTGACTATCGCCCTTCTTGAAGATAGGACTCACATAAGCCACTTTCCATTCACTGGGGACCGTTTGTTCATCCAGCCATTTACAAAACAGAATCTTCAGGGGCTCTGCAAGCTCGTTGCACAACTCTCTTAGCACTCTAGGATGCACCATGTCAGGTCCGGGACTTTTATGGACCTTTAGCCTGGACAGTTTATTTCTAATACCCTCTTCTGTGAACACAATGTGGGTCAGTGCTGTGTCGAACCGTCTGTCCTCAAACGCAGGAAGGTTAGTTGCATCCTCTCTTGTGAACACTGAGGAAAAGAAGCTGTTCAATGCCTCAGCTTTATCCTGGTCAGAATCTGCGTAACTACCATCTTCAAGCCTCAGGTCTGATACTCCTACTCGCGTTTTCAATTTCGACTTTGCATAGCGGTAAAACGCCTTTGGGTTTGACTTGACCTCGCGAGCAACCAGCCTCTGGAACTCCTTTTCAGCCCTCCTACACTCTATCTTTGCTTGGTTTCTGGCTCTTGCATACATCCTCCTGTCTTGCTCATCGTTTGACCCAACCCACGTCTTGAATTTCTGGGTTTTCTTCTTAATTTTGTCGACCGCCGCATGGTTCATGTGTAGGGATCCCCTCGTATTCCTAGAAGCACTGGGTTTGGTCTTGGGTATATATTTATCGATCAAATGGGTCATTTGTGGTGAGCGCCACAAGTGTAAATAAGTACGTAAATTAGTATGAAGAACACTAAAAGTAAAGGGGAATAGGAGTAGAGGCAAGCATATAAACACTAATTAGTGCAATGAAAACTCGCAAAAGAAGAAACTGCTGGCACTGGCAGTTTACCAGTTTAAAGCAAAGCTACGGAGGAAACAGGAAAATCACCAGAACATGTATGTTTATATATTATCTTATGATCAACATGCCGGAAGGGTTAACGAACTACTGTATACAGTAGTTAATTTCAGCCTGACTCAACACTCTTTAAGGGTGACTAATATCAGTGACTGTGGTGAGTTACTGAGGTGAGTAATCAATTCAATTCAAGGTAAAATAATGCCGTTTATTTTTTTCTTAAAGGTACGCTACAATTTCACCTGATGATTAAATACACAACGCAACCTAGGATAGGTTAGATTAGGCTGGGTGTTTTAATCATCAGGTGAAATAAGCTAAGGTGGGGGTAGCCTACTAATACAGTATCTATGTGATATGATAACAGAATTCCAACTTTATTTAGCAATGTCAGAATAAAGTTGGTTAGGCTGAGAAATTAGCTTTGATCGTGTTTTGTCGTATAATGGCATCATATTCGTAATCAAGCATTATGTCATAATCACAATCATTTATTAACGCTAGTTTGTCACTAATGACAAAACAACATAAAGTCTCGAAGGTCAGAGCACCTGAAGATTCTCTCCAGGTTATTTCATCTGAAGATTAACCACCCTAACGCTAACTAGCTTTACCTCCCCAGGTGATTAATTTAATTTTCAGGTGATTCGGTTATAGGGATGACAACCTCTTCGTTGGACACGGCTATTTGTCGCCAATTATAATTATATTTAGACGAGTAGCCTATGTGTAAATTCATCAAAGACCAAGTTCGTGATGTTGTCACAATGACTCGGCGACTGAGTCATGAAGTGAATACATGTATGCTTAGAGGTAACGATAGGTTGAGTTAATATCTATAGGAGGATTAGTGACCTTGATACACAGGATCTACAGTACTATAGGTGGAGTTAATAATTAGGCCTAGTAAACTTACTACACTCAATACCCACACTATATATTGTAGTAAATGAAACCTTCGGGGAATTTGAAGAGGCTGAAGATGAAGGGGCCGTGGAAGTGGTTGTCGATCGGTGAAGAGACTATATGTCCCACTTCCAGACTTCCTGTGAGGGGGCTACACTACGTGGTGTTGTTAGTCCCCCGTCCAATCTCTTTTCATATATTTGTTTAAGTACTCATATGAACCTAATAAGGATAACATGATAGTGCAGTGCTGTTATCTACGGCTGTAATCAATTCAAGGTAGAAGGCAGCTACCAAACAGGGAGGTACTACCGCCTGGGAAGATATTGGAAGCATGATGTGTTGTCTAATGGTAGTCCCTGCTGCCATATGGCATCACAACAATTATGACCAAGTCCCAGGTGAGTGATCAAACTTCTCCTCATTTACACACAATTATTTATCTTTCTTTGACGCCACATCATATACGTTGTTTCTCACTCTTGATTTTTTTTCAAAATTTCCATTTCTGTACTTATTTTTAGTTAATTTTTTATCTCCCCCCAGGCCCGATGTGGGTCGGTGACCTATGCCTGGGTGGGCTAATCCCCTAAAAAAAAAGTTGCTCCCTGTCGCGTTTTTGGCCGATGCACAGGAGTGTTTTAAGTTTTATACAGTTTTTTTTATTTTTTCGGGGATTAGCCCAATTCTGGCACAGGTCAATGACCCACATCAGGGCCTGGGGGACGAAAATTAATAATACTAATAATACTACTACTAATAATAATAATAATAATTACAATAATAATAATAATAATAATAATAATAATAATAATAATAATAATAATAATAATAATAATAATAATAATAATAATAATAATAATAATTAATAAAAATTAAAATATTAAAATAAAATAATAATAATAACCATAAGTAAATACAAAAATTAAAACAAATAAAGAGTGAGAAACAATATATGTACAGTATGTTATGTTGTCAATAGTAAGATAAACAATTGATACCCCTGCAATTGTGTGTCATGGAGCCTGTTACTCTAAGAATTCTATGAAAATTTGATACAAGTAGAATTTCATGAAATATTTTATACTTTTCAGAGAGATATGAAGGACCAGTTAACATATTGGACTGCTACATATAAACTTCTTTTAAACATAATAATATGTTTACACAATCGTTTTAGTTACCAACGTTAGTTACAAATAACTTAATTTTCGTTTTATATTCTGGAGCTCACTTTCCTTTGTAAGAATCCTTTGCTTAGATTCACATAGTTTACAGTGTATGATGAGATGAGGTGAGATGAGCAGGTGGATGTGGGTAATCCTACTTTTTATCTAAGCTCTTTCCTGTTGCTGACTACTTGCCTCTTACGCCACTCCTGCCTGTTATTCCTCCACTTTATTTGAGGTTTGTGTACTGTACCTCCAGCCAACACAAACAAAAGTGGGAGTGGGAGTTATATGATAAATACATACATACAGAATTCTATGATTATACTATGGAGCGGAATACGCTACTGAATATTTTACGGTACCATCATCCAGCCTTGGGAAGGTTTTTTTTATTTTTATTTAGAATATATTGAAGATCAACAACAATTTGTTCAATCTTACAGACGTAAAGGTGAAACTATACATGTTGAGCCCGAACAGTCTTGAAACGGACATCTATACACATGCGAAATCAATGTGAACTTGTAAGAGAATTTAATGAATATCTATCCATCTATCTATCTATCTGTCTCTTTAAAAATTTGAACTAAAAAATAATAACTTATATTAGGAGCATACTGAAGGGCACTTTTAAACAAACACTTTACCTGTATACTGACCAATTAGTTACCAGGGACAATCCCCTTCACCCCCTCCCCCATCCGTAGTTACAGGCCATTTATGGAAGAGTGGCAGTTGTCACCCCAGTGCATTTCTTATCTTTCTTGGGCTGGATCAGCGTTGGCACTTGAGGTCTTGCCTGCATTGCCACAATTTTCAAAAATTAAGGTATATGGTTGTTCTTATATTTTGTGAGTTACGTACTTGTAAGTGGTAAATATAAACATTAAAAAGTCAGTCTGGCAAAATCTATGATAGCTTTAATGATGCAAATTGTATGGAAAAGTAAACGTTATTTCGATAACACTCACTGGTTCAAGAAATACATATACAGGTACCTTATTAAAAGTAAACATAATATATATATTATATTGGAAGCCTGGCTCCATTGACCCTCTCAGTTCCGGCGCCTATGATTTTAATGTCTTTAAACTTGTGAACATGAAAAATTAAACCATGACAAGAAAATGAGCCAGTAAACGACTCATTCAGACAGGAAAAATATTACCATTAGATCGAATTATTATTTTATTTCATTCAGCGAGCTACAGCCAGTCATATAATCTATAATATAATCTGATGAATAATATTAATTTTAATACTTATATTTACTACAGGAACATGCTGATCTTATAATAGTATATAAATGTGTGTTTATGATGGTGTAGCCGCGTAGTGACGTAACACATACAGCACGGAAATTAATGTAACGTTGGTGAAGGGAAGGAGAGAGTGTGTTTGGTGACAGAATGAGCCTGATGTACTGTACATAAAGAACTTAATGTTTTTAATCTATGAGTGAGACAGGAACGTTCATTACGACTGCTTCCAGTGCTTCACGAAGTGGGTTTCGTCGTCCGTGAGGTGTGTGAGGGCCTCCAGTTCGCCCATTGGCGGCCTGTCTTCGTCTCTAGGAGTGGGCTGATCCAGAGAGTGCCCAGAGAGATGTGCCAGGTGTGTGGGCGTGTATCCGCGTCCGTTCATTAGGTGGGCGTCACCTCCCACACTGACGAGTTTCCGCGCCTGCACAGACAAAACTCAACTGTATTGGAAAAAATGAAGCAACACCGAGAACCGAACCCGAACTCAGTATTTAAAAACACGAAAGTCAGGGTTTATTAGACGCAAATTAGGGTATATTAGATTATGTCAAAGGCAAGGCAGGTTATATTAACTTAGGTTTGATGAAAGTTAAGTTAGGTTACGTTGTAGACGAATTAGTCAAAGTCTGGTTAGGTAACGTTAGAGACAAGTTGAGGGGGGCCCATATCAACATATCGATCCAGGGAAACGAAAAGTTGTTCTATGTTGGAGTTTATTAATAGGGACAAGATTATCAATTAACATAATACAATTAGTAATTTACCGAGATGACCATTGCAAATAAGTATTTTAACGAGTCTGATCTCCAACCTGAAACCAACCGGGACCATTAAGGTGGATTTTCATGTTGGGAATCTCTCTCCGTCTGTGTCTGAAAGCGTGTCTACAGTATATTCTCAGTAAAATTTGGAAAGAGTCTTTCGTGTTTTATTTACCATAGAGCATCATGGTAGGAGAAACAGCAGTTGGTCTCACTATTGAAAATATGGGACCATGACTCAATTTTTCATAGTTCGTCTTCACTATCTCGGATTCTTTCCCATTATTCGCCTCACCATCTCATATCTTCAATAATTCCCCTCACTATCTCGTAACCGCGTTCATTATCCCCTGATCAACACCCTCTTAATGTCATCCATACTTCCCCTCACTACCTCCAATCTTCCCCTAAATTCCCCTCGGCACCCTCTAGTGACAGTCTAAACTGTTCCATAATTCCCCTCGGCACCCTCTAAATTGTTCCAGAATTCCCCTCAGCGCCCTCTAAACTGTTCCATAATTCCCTTCGGCAGTCAGCACCCTTTTTCTGTTCCATAATTCCCCTCAGCACCCTCTAAACTGTTCCATAACTTCCTCTCCCATCCCTCTATGTTCCCCTCTCCTTGCTCTAGCCTAAGGCATCACCCTCTCTCTGCCTGCGTCTCTTGCTCCCCTCAGTCCGACGCTCCCCCTCCCTCCCTGCCTCCCTCGCCTCACCTCGCAGGCACCGCCACGACCCACAATGCATCAGGCAACTTAAATGTTGGTCTTGAACTTGATCTTGATCTTGAACTTGGACTTACGCCGCGTTCTGTCATGGCTGCCGAGCGTTTGGTCCCGCCCACCGATCTGCAGCGCATGCACCACGCATCTCCTAGCTCGCTGCGGCGGCCTCCCTCCCAGTCATGACCCTCCAGGAGAAATTGATCCACAAAAACAAAGGAAGAAAGGATGTCTAGTGCGCAAACACGCTGTGGCGGCGGCTACTTCAGGAGCGGGGGGAGGAAAGTAGGACATTTCGTCTTAATCACCCTACCACCCCCCCCGTGAATAAGGAACGCAGGTGTGGATCTGGAAATACGCCGTGGTGCATAGTAAGATGAGCTTTGGCAACATCGCAATTTACCACTTCTGCTGTCAGGTAGTCTTCTGTTAGGCCAAACTGGCAACTATATAGGCTACTGACGAGAGTTGCCATGTCAATAAGAGATAGGGGGACCTCCCCACCCTCGATTCATCGATTCCACTAGAGATGTTGATGGCGCAATAGATTAAAATGATGGTGGGTAAAGGAAGATGGAAGGAAGTATGAGAATATCCACAACACGAGGCAGTTGCTGCTGGGCGCGGGCCTGTAGGCGGCGACTTTAAAGCTGCCGTCTCACTCGCCTCAGACTACCGGAGTGGCGCGACGCTGCCTGTGACCTTGGACAACAACCACCACTACAACTTCCACCACTACCTCCACCGTTACAACTTTCACCACTACCTCCATCACAACTTCCACCTCCACCATCACAACTTTCACCATCACCACCACCATGCCGCCACATGAGTGTAGACTGTAGCAGATATAAAGGCGAATAAATTAATAACAGTTATAACACCCAAATAGACAGATATATAGATTGAAGGAAGAGCTAAATATATAAAGGGGGCATGAAGAGATTAATGGAGAGGAAAAGGAGAATAAATAGCGAGGAAATGAAACAAATAGACAAAAAAATATACAGAAAAAAGGAGAGGTAGATGAAAGAAAACAGAAAGGAGAGATAGACAAAAAGAACAAGATACAGGAAGACAAAGACAAATTAGGAGAGGAATACCTATAATACTTTACGGTATTAGTGATCCCCATGCAGATGTGTGTGTGTGTGTGTGTGTGTTGATAATCTCGGCTCAAAGAAAGATAGAGAGGAGAGTGCAGGGCTTAAGACAAGTGTTGAAAGCAAAAAGAGAGGAATTTTAGTTAGTTTAACAAATTTATTGGCAAAGTTTGTAGTACAGTTTGCCTATTCTGAGTAATTCACTTAGGTCTTGACACTGAGGGTGGTATCACTTCTCACTGCACGCAGGACAGAGGTTCATACACAAAGAAGTACATCATATTCATTAACATCTATAAATGTATAGAGGTCAGATTCATATGGGTAATGTCACTGTTCACTGCCATGCAGGACAAAGGTTCGTACACAAAGAGATGCATCATATTCATTGACAGTACATATGCATATATGTACACACACATACACATATACATACATATACATATATACATATACATATACATGTACATATATATACACATATACACACATACATACACATATGCACACATACATACATATACGTCGGTCAGATTCATGTGGGTAATGTCACTCTTCACTGCCATGCAGGACAGAGGTTCGTACACAAAGAAGGAAATACATCACATTCACCAGCAGCATATATAGGTCAGTGGATCACATACATTGGAGTCATATTCTAATTGAAGACTAATCAGTGTGGGCTAGCAAATTTGGGATAAACAGTAAGAATGTCCTCAAGCACACCTGATTCAATGAAGTAATTACATAGTTCAAGATACAATAAGTCAGGTGGCCTGAAGTCTTTGACAGTGCCATCAATAATATAGTGTTCAAGTGTATGCTTTAGAGGTTTATCACAAAGTTTACATGCTGAGTGTTCTGGTATGGGTACAGCGTTACTAACTTGCCAGATGTGTCTGTATCCAAGTCTAATTCTGGCCACGACTACATCACATTGTCTGGTTCTGTCCTTATGCTGGCCATACCGGTACCTCTTGTCACAAAATTTGTCATATTTACTAATGCTACAACTGTCAGGTCTCTCGCATTTTCACTTCTTCTAGATCAGAGTTCATGATTCTGACTTGAATGTTTTAATTACAGCATTGGACAGGCCAAGGTCATCAACATTTCCTTTCTTACATGCCTCATTGGCCAGTCTATGAGCACTGTCATGATACCTGATTCCAACATGGGACGGAATCCACACAATTCGATACGAAAGTTGTTCTCATTGGCAGTTATCACATTCCTTTTAATATCACATACAACTTTAGACATAGAGCCTGACGGGCTGTTCATTGATTTCAAAGCACTTTTGAGAGTCACAGAATATCACCCCACCTCCATTTTCTTTGAGGTAGTCTGTGGCTAAGTAGATTCCAGTTGTTGTTTGTAGTTGTTCAGCCTTTGTTTGTTTGACACTATCATCTCTTTTTCTTTATATATTACAATTGCACAGCCTGTTCTACCTGTGTTTGTCTGCACAGAACCATCAGTAAAAACATAACATTCACTTGATTTAATACTCTCTATGTGTCTGTTAATAGTTTCTAGTGTGACACATCTCACCACATAAAAGAGAGGAAGATTAGACTTCTCAGTTTATTTCACCTGATGACTTAACACCCTAGGGGGTTAGTTTATGTTAGATTATGCTTAGCTGAGTTAACGCTAGGGTGTTTAATCATCAGGTGAAAGACTGGGGTTCCTTATCTTCACGTGATCCGAAACATCCCGACATACTTGGCCGTATACTGTTGTAAGCTTACATACCAGTGACCCTTTAGTATCCAGACTGCACCACAAAACATGAGGGCGAGTCACTGCATACTAAGTTAAAGTGTTCATGTTATCATTATCGTTTACGAAACGACAACATTGTGTAATTGGAAATGAAACAAGTTTATATAGCCACACTAATACAGATATAAATTGAACAACAACAGCAATATTGACATGGCTGAGACGTTTTAAGGACCTGATAAATGCTGTATATTCATCTCAGGAAAGTTAGTTAATAAAACATAATTTATCATCTGGATTACATTTTACACGGTGTTAGTAAATACATATGAAACTGAAATATTTTTTTTTCAGGAACATCAGCTCCTCAGGTTCGTGAAGTTGAATTTGGTAATTATTTACGGCTTCTCAGCCGTTGATTTAGAAACGAATATAAAAACGCCGCAATTTCATTGTACTGTATTTTATAGTGGATACTGTCGTAGTTAAGGCAAATGTGTGAAGAGGTGTTTATTTAAAAGTTCAAATTAACCTAACCTAACTTTCTTGAACTAAACTAAACTAAACAAAACTAAACTAAACTAGCATAATAACACCTGCCGTGGACGAACTTACTGATACTGAGACGGGGTAAAGCGGCTGTGAAATCCTCCATATTAGTCATTAAAAGTGAACTGCGACTATATTTACTGTGCGGTCTCGACTGTTCAGTTCGAGGGCAAAAACATTGTATGAATCTTTTATAGTCCGCGCTATGTAATATGAAACAAAATTAAATGATTACAATTTAATTAAATGATGAAATACACTAAATTTGTTTATTTTTATTACCACTAATTCAGACATTGTTGGTCAATGATTTTGATGTAGAATTATTTTATTACCATCCTTATATTTTTGTTGTCTTGTTATGTTGTAAGGGTGGGCGGGCAGGTGCTGATCTTTCTTATGCATTAAGCGCCTGCAAGGTTACTTCACTACCGTGGTACGATGCTAATCCACACCAAGGGTTATTTCACCATAGGCATACACATCCGATTGCTTGAAAGGCGAACGTCCTTATGTCCATGAAAGCAAAAATCACGAATATTAGGTGAGGTGTGTCAAAGGAATATCCCAGATTGAGATGACGGATACGTATGAAGTAACGGATTAAATCTATATTGATGAAGTTTCAATACCTATATACAGTATTTACAGGATGTCAAATCGTTTTAAAAGATAGGTAGCTAGTTCACAAAAGATGCTCACCCAACTTATTTTCTGCCATTGTTTGGCTTCTATAAATCAACCTAAATTGTTCACACCAATCTTGAAACTCATGTAACCAGGAAAGCGAGTGGTCAGTTGTAATTATTCTGGTGATAATTATATGGGGAAATGCCATGGTTGTCGCAATTTATTGTTATTATTTTTATTTCACACTTTTATAAACGCTATCTTTAGTTCTCCTAATATAAACACCCCCACCCAAACAATAAGTTACTGTAGGTTTTATGCGGGTTTCAGCTTACCTCAAAAACGCATAAGATATAACAGAAAATAAACTGGCTTGAAAATTGAAATGCTAATCAACGTTTCTATCAGACTGCGGTCATAACAGTTTATCTGTACGTGAGCTGACTACGATTCCAGCACCAGTAATCACCTTCACCTTGCTCTAGACAAGGGCGAGCCAACCTTGCACAGCCACCCGCCTTAGTTCCTGCGTCACTTTCTCCCCTCCCACCTATTCCTTTTCCCCCGTTACACTCCTCCCCCACGCCCCACTTCCCAACTCGCCGCCTTCCCCACACATCGTCACTTGTTTAAAGGTGCCCCGTCGTATGCCCCGAACAGTTAATACCGATACTGTACAGTTTTCTACGTAATTCGTAAATAAACTCTAAATGTTTTGTTTTTCCTCCTTTTGGTGTTATCGCCTGGGGAAAAAATTCTGGAGTTTTAATAAACTGACTGCTGCAATTCAGAACACAGAAATGTTTGGAATTTATCTTGTAAAAAAAAAATATATATATATATATATATATATATATATATATATATATAAATATATATATATATATATATATATATATATATATATATATATATATATATATATATATATATATATACAAATAAATCACTGTAGGTGCGCGTGATCCGGGTATATGCTGATAACCACGGGAAAGAAACACAGAAGTTCCCCAGAAGGCTTTCATAATTCACATCTTCAGGGGTGATGCAATTTACATATTATATATATATATATATATATATATATATATATATATATATATATATATATATATATATATATATATATATATATATATATATATATATATATATATATATATATATATATATATATATATATATATATACTGTCTTGTCACTTGAACAGCATTCTGGCTAGGGGCTCCCAATCATATGTTATTAATGATTAAAATCTTCTGGTGATTCAACACTATATTTATATTATCATGGAAATGAAACCGTGCGTTTTACAGTATGAATAAGGTTGTCTAAATGGCGGAGAGAATGTAAATACAATTGGAGTTGGTTTGTATGGGATGATTTCAAACCATACTGATATGCAAATGCCATTATTTTCGCTCTGTTTAGTGTAGACTGTAGATGGTCATGATGAACTATTTACCATATGAAAGGTAGCGAGCAAAAAGCTGTAGGATGAAAGATAATGTAAAGATTTTATGAATAAAGGGAAGGAAAGCGTTGACGAAAGAAGAATGGAGACTCAGATGAATAACTCGTATTAGATAACTATGGTAAATAGGCGAGGAAATAAGATTATGAGTGATTTAACAAATTTAATTCAATATGTGGCGAGAATTGAAATGTAAAAAAGCATATTGAGTAATGAATGAATGGAGATTTTACTTAAGATAAATGTTAGTGAACGTACTAAAATCTGTAAGCAGCAATGATTTACCGTGTGAAGAAATAGGGGTCGATGGGTGGTGGAGGCAGCGGGAGGAGGGCTGGAGACACCTGTCAGTCAACCAGCCAAGAAATCATAGCTACCCGACAAAGCCAAATAAGTTTCACGTTGTATTAATTCAGAATATATAAAGGTGAGGGAGGAAGAGAAATAATTATGTAAAGCGGCAACGTGAGACGATTACCTTTACCCTACAATATTGAAGATGGTGTAGAGACGGAGTTGATCGGTAAGATTATGTGAAAACTAAACTAAATTAAATAGTGAAACAATAAGATGTTTTCCCTTGCCCAAATATACAAGGTAATATGGGCCAAAACTCAGGTAATATAGAAGTAAAACGATGATTACCATAATCGTGATATTCATAGCGTAATGTTACATAGCAAACTCCATTCTGATCTGCGAAATGGTGTGTTGTACAATTAAACGGCTCCGAACAAATGTAGTAAAGGTTGCTCGCTGTAATACTGACTTGAGTTATGCAAATGGATGAGCCTGGTTACACAGAGACGACACCTTCGTCCCGAATAAGCATAAATAAATTAAATGAAACGAGGTTAAACAGTAAACAGTGGACAACTGAGTCGGTGTGTATATAACAGTGGTAATATGAAAGAACCTGAAGACCACTGTTATTGTTGCTGCGAATTATTGGCATTCTTCTACTGCCCTCTCTTTGCCTCTCTCTAAAACAGAATGTGAGGGAAGGAGTGAGACGGGGGTGGAGTGTGGGCAGAGGAGGGTTATGAAAGGTATTGATTGTGTACAGTGTTGCGGGGAAGCGGCTGCACCACACACCATGTAGCAAGATACATCCAGATACAGGTGTTTTTACAGCTAATTGGAAATTTAATAATCGGCTTAAAATGCAGTATGTTGTGAGAGACAGCTCTGGCGCGTTACTGTGGTTGTCGACTGTGGTGAACGAGACCGGAGAACAGGACAAGGGAGAAAAGAGTTTATATAACACAAGGATACACACACACACACACACACACATACACATACACAGTTTATTGATTATATATTATTTATATGTTGGTGATGCGACTATCTGCAGTGAGGCTCAACGTTCACATTTACTATGCAGTAGAAATTCTCAAGAGCAGAGAGGCTTTTCAAAGGAGGTGGTGGGGCAGAGGTAGGCTTTTGAGGAAGGCAACTAAGAAAATGGAGCTGGCAGGGCAAACAATGGAGAGTTATTAGGAGAATTTCAATTGTTTGAAATGGGTTACTGAATCAGGTGTTAAAGATATAGATTTAGAGAAAATACAGTAGTTATAAATATATTACCTGCAAGACGGATTCAGATAGAGCGATGAGGTAGAGAGGGTGTGCGACGGTAAACAGTATTGTTTGTGATATTAGCAGCTGACTACGTGTTCATGGAAGGATATATCATATTTATGGAAGTAATTTTACCTTTAAGACGACTGAATAAGCTTTGGGCTGGGTGGATGCTGGTTACATCGGCCGTACCGTACCTACAATTATAGCCTAACTTAATCTACTCATATCCTATCCCGACTTAGCCTAACGTATAGCGATCCTATCTTGACTTAACCTAGATGATTTTATCTGATAACCTTACCGAACTTATCCAATAAACCTGACTTAAGTTAATCTAACCTAACCTCTCCCAACATATCCTAGCCATATCTAATTTTCCCTATACCTTATTCTATCCTTCTCTTTCCTTACCTGTCCTTCCTTCCGTTTTTCCGTCTCTTATTCTATCTTTTTTATCTCTCGTTATTCCCTCTTCATCTTTGCTTCGTCCCTCTTTCCTTCTCTTCTCTTCCAACTTCCACTTATCTCTCTCTTTCCATTGTTTTTTACCCCCTATCCCGACATCGTTTCACACCTCCCTTTACCTATCTACTTCTCTCCCCACTCTTCTTATCCTCTCACCCCTTCTCTGTCCTTTCCTTCCCTCCCTCTTTTACAATTTCCCTTCATCTGCTCCCCTTCCTCTTCCATATATCCTCTGCTCTGTATGGTATGCTAGGACCAGGGGTAAAGGCCACAAGGACGGCAGTAATCCCTCCCTTCTTCCCTCCCTACAAATACTCACCAGGTGTGCCAAGCCCAGGGTGAGGGCCACGTGTAGAGCAGTGTTCCCTCCAGTACCTCGCTGGTTCACCTCGGCACCTCCCTCCACCAGCGCCTCCAACATCTTCGTCGCCTCTTCCTCCATTTCCTCTCGAGTCCACCTGTGAGAAGATGGATGTGCTACTCAAGTCATGAGAGAGAGAGAGAGAGGTTCGCAGATGAAGAGACAGGTTGATTGATTGATGAAAAGGGAGATAATAATTGATATTTAGAGCGAAAGAGCCAGGGACACGTTGACAGATAGGCTGAAAGAGAGTGAGACAGAGACAAATTTGTATTGGGAAAGAGAGAGATGAAGACAACGCACGAGCAACACTAAAGAGCAGTTGACGCTCATGGTCAACATATCCGGGAGAAATAACGCAATACTGCATCAGATGTGAGGCATGAGTGACATGATCCTAGTAGTAGTGTGAAGGAGGGGTCATGTCTTAGTACAGTAGTAGTGTGCCGCAGGGACACATCCTAGTAATATCATAATTTTATGTAACGTATCCTAGTACCAGCTAGCATTGTAAGTGGGACATCCTAACAGCAGAGTAAAATATGGGACATATCTTGGCAGCACTACAATAAATGGGACACATCTTGGCAGCACTACAATAAATGGGACACATTCTAGCAATAGTATGGTTCACGAGACAATTCCTAATAGCAGAACATATAGGACACATCCTAGAAGCATCAGAGCAAGTGGGACACATCCTGGTACCAGCATAACAGATGGAATATATCCTAACAGCAGTATGACGCATACGACACATCCTGACAGCAGTATGTCTCATAGGACATTCTAACAGCAGTATGACGCAGGTTCATAACACAAAGAAGTTCTCCCACATGGTAGTGACGCAGTTAGAGGCTGGCGAGACACGGTGACCCAGACCTGCTGTCATAATTCATGAGGAAGCCTCACGTACACGAGGACCCACTCTTACCTGTACCCCGCCCAGGGCCACGCTGACATTTGCGGTGGCGCCACTCGCCTCATGGATAGTCTGGGTCATCCCTGAACCGTCTGAGTGATGGTGGAACAGTCTGAGTAGTGTTGAAACAGTTTGGTTGATGTTGGGATAATCTGATTTATATTGGGCTAGTCTGAGTGGTGCTGGGATAGTCTGGGTAGTGTTGAGACAGTTGGTTGGTGTTGGAATATTTTAAGTCATTCATGGACTGTCTCGTTAGCGCTGAGATAATCTAGTTTAATCATAGACCATCTAGTTGTTGATGGAATAGTCTGGTTGATGTTGATCATGCTGGGCTAGTCTGGGTGGTGCTGAGATAGTTATACACAGTCGTGTGGTCCAATGCTTGAGCTGCTACAAGCCTCACCTGGCGGAGACGAGACGCGTATAGGCAGTGGTGAGGGCGAGGGCAAGGGTGGAGTGGCCAGCAGCTGACAGGGTAGCGTCAGCCCCATCCTGCAACGCCGCCTTCACCACCTCCAGCTGATGACCCGCCACCCCGTAGTGTAGCGCCGTCAGTCCGTTCCTGCAGTAATATCACCACCATGGCCACCGCCAATCCGTTCATGTAATAACGCCAACATGATCAATGTAAACATGTCATAGACAAGCATTGTCTATGTTTATTAATATAACTAAAATAGGTCACTATCGTATGGGAGGTGGATACTTCTGTAGTACCAAGAGGGTCACACCACGGATTTTACCGTGATTGTTTCAGTCTGCTTTACATTAGCCTATTAGGTTAGATGAGCTGAGTTAACTAGGTAGTTAAGTTTGTTGTTACAATAAGATGAGTACTGTTAAGCTATGTTAGAACATACAAAAGAACATAACATAAGAACATAAGAATGGAGGAAACAGCAGCGGGCCTATTGGCCCATACGGGGCAGTCCCGTTTACATCCAACCCCTATCGCTCATATATCCATCCAAACTATGTTTGAAGCTATCCAGAGTAACTTGTTCCACTAATCCACTACTCTATTTCCATACCAATGTTTACCTATCTCGCGCCTAAATCTAAATTTGTCTAATTTAAAACCATTGGAGGAAACTGTAACGGGCCTATTGGCTCATTCTAGGCAGTCCTATTTACACCCAACTATACACGAAGCTTCGCAAAGTGTTCGAGTTAACGATGATGTTCGGTAACGCATTTCACTCATCTACTACTCTGGAGTAAGCTAATCCTACAGATGAGCTTCGTTAGAGTCTACGTTTAAAACTCTTTACTGACAAAATTCAAGAGTAAATTATTAATTGTAGGAAACATAATCACTAGTAATTACTAGTAGGGTATTAAGGGGAAATCTTATTATAATGTGTCCAGTTGTCCAGTGGAGGTGGAAACTCTCCTACTCCGACTGCATAGGAACATGGCTTCATGCCAAAATATGCGTCATCTCAATTTAAATGTGGCAATATAAGGTGATGATAGAACACCCGGGTAAGCATTCCATTGATTTATGGTCGTTATTGCAAATCAATATCCCGTCATAGTGATTTTCCAATGATCAGGTTTAGCAGACTTAAAACTACGGCGAGTGTGGCCTCTTAGGGTATTGGTACTGCATTTAAATTTTGAGAAGTGAATGTGTTTGTATCCATGCAGGAGCTTGTAGACCTCAATTATATCTCTCCCTCCAGTCCTGTAATGTCTTTAGGTCCAACAAAATAAAACCATTGAATTATATTACAGGAAGTTAGGTCAGGCTAAGTAGGTCTTGTTGGTGTATTTGTACCACTGTATTTAACACTAGTCAGCCATCGTTGACTATGCAGTTCATTGCTGGTAACCTTAATTAGCCAAAGACATATAATTACTGGAAAAAATAACCCCAGTGCAGAACAGACCAAAAAAGTAGTCCCAGGAGTAGCACATTTGCTCTATGAAGACAACTGGCATCTGTAATATAATTGAATGGTTTTATCTTGTTATAATTATATTTTATGCTACGTTATCTAGGCAAGTTGATTGTTTGTTTTTTTATTATTGTCAACAGGAAGAGCAGCACGCACTGTATTCACTTAAAATAAATGGGAAAGGTGCAAGACCGTCACCCATTTCTTTGTATTTACGAGGTAAGAAACAACTTTCTTATAAAAAAAAAAAAACCCTAAAGTTGTTCCTATCCATGACTCTGACGTCTAAGGTATTGCCGACCTGGTGGGGTTAGATGTGCTTAGATTGAGTCAGGTTAGACGTGGTTAGATTAGGTTAGGTTAGGTCGAGTTGGGTTTCGGTTAGATCAGTGTTAGGTTAGGCTAGGTTAAATTTGGTTAGGCTGATTTAGAATTTGTTAGGCTGTGGTAGATTAAGTTAAGCTGGGTTAGTTTAAGTTAAGCTGGGTTAGATTTGGTTAGGCTGGGTTATATTTGGTGAGCTAGGTAAGAATTGGTTTGGCTGGGTTAGAATTGGTTAGACTGGGTTGAATTTTGTTCGGATTGGTTAGAATTGATTAGGCTGGGCTAGAATTGGTCAAGCTGGGTTGGATTTGATAAGACTGGGCTGGATTTGGTTAGGTTGGGTTAGATTTGGTTAGGCTTGGTTAGATTTGGTTAGGCTTGGTTGGATTTTGTTAGGCTGGTTGGATTTTGTTAGGCTTGGGTAAGAAGAGGTAAAGTTTCGCCCAGGTCTCAGCAGCAGGGCCGGGGGAGGAGGGTATTGATGTTGTTTGTTATAGTTAAAGTAAATATTAATGGTGGCGTATTATCTTCAAAATGAATAAAAGTTTTTACTTGAAATAATTTTGTCCTTATAAAGCCAAAGTTGGTTGCTTATGAATTTATGGCAACTTTTGAATGACCAGAAGGTGTTCCAGTACTCACCTGTCGGTATAGTTCCAACTGGCTCCTGCGGCACGTAGCCTGCGGGCAAGGTCGATGCGGCCCAACCAGGCGGCTAGGGTGAGGGGAGCGAGGTGCGGCCCAGCAGTAGGGACGCCCACAGCGGCCCGCCGCTCCACCAACACGGCTAGGGCGTCACGTGACCCACCCTTCACCGCCGCCACTAGTGCCGTATGGCCTGCCTCCACCACGTGGTCTATACGCTCCATCCTGTACCACACGGGCTCTTTATTGTCACTTGCCACACATAACACTTGGCCATCACATGTACCTCCCCTCACACACTTGGCCACAACACTCCCACACACAACACTTGGCCACAACACTCCCACACACAACACATCCACACACAACACTTGGCCACAACACTCCCACACACAATACTTGACCACAACACTCCCACACACAACACTTGGCCACAACACTCACACACACAACTTGGCCACAACACACTCCACACACACACACACACACACACATCCACACACAACCTTGGCCACAACACTCCCACACACAACACATCACAACACACACACACAACACTTGGCCAACACTCCACACACAACACTTGGCACACACAACACTCCCACACACAACACTTCACAACACTCCCACACACAATACTTGACCACAACACTCCCACACACAACACTTGGCCACAACACTCCCACACACAACACTTGACCACAACACTCCCACACACAACACTAACTACCTCGCCCCTACACACAACAGATAAATGATAATAACGTCATATATGAGAGAACAACTGAAACACTACCAGAGACTCTCAGTCGTTTATCTCTATTCGTCTTCTTATCATAGTCTACACTAAGTCTCTCTTCGACGAGCTATCATGTCTCTCCTTTCACATGTTTCCCTCCCTTTTCACCTACCTCCTCTTCACGGGTCTCCCTCTCCTCTCTTCACCCGTCTCTCCCCCTCCTCTCTTCACCTGTCTCTCCTTCCCCTCTTTCCCTGTATCTCCTTCGCCTCTTCACCTGTCTCTCCCTCCCCTCTTCACCTGTCTCCCTCTTCACTTGTCTCTCCCTCCCTCTTCACCTGTCTCTAGCTCCCTTCACCTGTCTCTCCCTCCTCTTCACCTGTCTCCACCCCCTTCACCTGTCTCTCCCTCCCTCGTCACCTGCCTCCCCTCTTCACCTGTCTCTCTTCACCTGTCTTCACCTGTCTCCCCTCTTCACCTGTCTCCCTTTTCACCTGTCTCTCCCTCCCTTCTTCACCTGTCTCTCCCCCCCATTCTTCACCTGTCTCCACCCCCGTTCACCTGTCTCTCTCATCACCTTACAGCACTTACTGGGAGAACTTAAGGAGGTCAGCCAACACGTCCCTGACCAGCGTGGCGTTATTCTCCTGCACTGCCTCCACCAGGTCCTGCCCGCTGCTTGGCAAACCTGATCCAGGTAACACACTGATTAGTTCCATGATTTGTCCAGGTGACACATTGACTGGCCTCATGACTCGCTCAGATAACACATTGATTAACCTAGTGACTCGCTCGGGCAACACACGTATTAACCTCATGGCTTGCCCAGGTAATACACAGTTTAGTCTCATGACTCACCTAGGGAACACATTAATTATCCTCATGACACGCCAAGGTAACACTAATTAGCCGCGTGGCTCACTCACTCCATGAACCAGGGGTAAGGTCTTCCTGTGGTTTCTGGTCCAGCAGGTTCATGGCGAGGTTGAGATCATGGATTCTTCCTTTACCTCAAAATGTCTCCACTATTTAAAACTACTTTCATTGTAAAATTTGGAATGGTTATTGTTATTCGCGCCAGTTTAACGCTAGGAATTGTAAGACCTTTTGCGTCTCATTGCTCGTGTTATTATAAATGTCATGAGAGAAAATTTTCAATTAATAAGTGATATGATTCATATTTAAAATGTTGCTTTGTATACAGGTGATCATGACTCTTGTATGTTTACCCTGTACTGTCTTTTTAGGTATGAACAGCAAGACACCATGTGGTCAGCCGTGCGAGGTGATGTTTACAATGTACTGTACTTAAGGGTGTAAGCAAGTTCATGCTATGTTACATGTTTAATGATGTCTGCTTGCTGCCGGACTCGTCTCTTTTTCCTTCCTGCCATAACCAAGTCGTAACTCGTAAGTACACTACTAATAACATTTTATTGTGTTGCAGTTAGATAATTGTGTCTAGTATTTTCACAATATATAATGTATGTCTTAGTTGATTGTACGTTTATGAGTTAAAACTCCTACGTTATATTTTACACTGCAATTTTGACATTTAGCTGCACTACATTTACCCAATTGTTTTCTGGCTTCGTCAACCAAGAATATGAAAATAGTGCGAATAACTCACTCTTGGTCTTGATGGTGAGGGTGGTCCAGGGAGAGGTGAGGTCCTCCTCGGTGAGACAAACACGAACCTTGGTCACCTGTGCTGGCGCCAGACCATCTACCAAACAGCTTCGCCCGCTGCCTCTGTGGGGTCATAGAAGACGTTGATCAGGGTTTAAATGACCCCGAATATCATATTTTATGTGCTGTGGCTAGTGAGTGGTGCCCAGTTCACCATGCTCAGGAATCTTAGCTGTGTTTATTAACCTAGGGTCATCCTCGTTATCCCCAAAGCATGCTTACTGATACAAGTTACAGTCATTAATAATGGTTCATGAACTTCATGCTTACCAACAACAAAATATTCTCGTAAACAAAGTCATGAAGGTTAGCTGATCAACAACAGAGTTGTAGCCTCGCTCTGGGATGAGGTGAGAGTGACGTTGTTAATGGCCAGCAAGAACTATCACAAAATAAATGGGAGGTGATAGGAGAACAAGGAGGATCTTGAGTCCTTGACTCACCTGTATACAGTGGTCCAGCCGGTCCTGGGACTCAGGAGCTGGGCCGTGTACACCTGAGTGGGTCGTTCTGGGAAGACCTCGGTCCTATCTATCTCCTCCTCAAGAGGACCTTCCTCCAGCCCCTGCAGTGACAATGCATCAACGAGACCTAATTAGATATCACCGTGACTGACTCTTCAAAAAACAAATAATTTGTGTTTGTTCTTTCTCTCTATTCTCTTCTTTATCTTAAAGCCTCTCCCAATTATGAGCACCATGAATAAAGAAACCTCAAGAGGAACACAAATGGAAGCGTAAGCGTACACTCCCACCCTTACACAAAGGTACTCACATCCTCGTCTTGCAAGTAGGTGTCGGGCTCCACCTCCTTTGCGTACGCCAACTCCAGGTAGTCCTCGTAGGAGTCATTAACACCGCCTTCACCACCCCTACCACGTCACGAGTAACACATCAACAGTATACGGATATAATGATCATAGCGGTATATTTTAGAGAATGGAGACTCAACATCTCTTACAAAATTTGATCACTGGCCATCAGTTCCAACATTATAGAAATTGTCAGCGTTATTGGTGACTTACCGGGGGGAGGCTGCATCGGTAGAGGAGGCATCACCGGGGTCAGCCTGGGGTCCATCGCCATCTGAACTGACGCTGAGGTCACACTCATCTGGGTCACCCCACTCCACCCTGACCCAGTGGTGACCTACAGCCCCCTCCCGCACATCAGGTCCTGCCCAGGTGTGACAAGTGTTACGAAGTGGTCATTTAAGATGAATGGTAACAACTAATACTCGAAGACTAGGGTAATTTGTCACGTAAGAAAACCAACCCGAGTCACAGCGTTAGTTCAGTTAATTTGACATTTTTTTATACGGGATTAGCCCATCATGGCACAGGTTAATGACCCACATCAGGGCTTGAGGCGAAAATATAATAATAATAATGATAATAATAGTAATAAATAAAAAATAATAACAAATATAAAATATATTACATAAAATATAATAATAATAATAATAATAATAATAATAATAATAATAATAATAATAATAATAATAATAATAATAATAATAATAATAATAATAATAAATATTGAGAAACGATATATGTATGTTGTGTTGTCAAGGTAAGAGAAACAATTGCAACCCTGCAATTGTGTGTAAATGAGGCAGAAAGTCAGATCAGCAACCTGGGACTTGGTCACAATATTTGTGATATCATATGGCAGCAGGGTCTATCATCAGACAATACATTATGCTTCCAATATCTTCCCAGGCAGTAGTCCCCCCCTGTTTGATAGCCGCCTACTACTTTCTACCTGGTACTTTTTTTATAATTACATAATCATTTTTAGTAGCTGTATAAAGAATAGTCTATAATAATAAAACCTGTGTGTGTGAGCGAGCCAGTCAGCACCATTGCTCTTAGACCATGGACCTGAAACTTTGCATGCACACGAAGGGGACCCTGGGGGCATCCACCTCGTTACTTTTTTTATTTTTTTATTTGGCAAAAAAAAAAGGAAATTAAATATCAAAGGAGAGTAAGAGTGCCGGGATCCATACCTAAAAGTGATTGTATTTTTTTTACGGGGATTAGCCACCCGGGCACAGGTCATCGACCCACAACGGGGCCTAGGGGGCGAAGAAATAAGAATAGAAAGAAATTAAAAATGGAAAAGTAAAAGGTTATGTTAATCTACACCACGAAGATGCCGGAAAATCAGCTTTTTAAAGTGAGACAGATTGTATGAGTGTGGAAACACAGAAGAAGGCAGAGCAGTCCACAGTTTGGCAAGACGTGAGTTACGAGCCCACGTCCTTGCCGGCGGTACACAGGATGCCAAATCCACCGAACATTGCCCGTTAAAGTACTTGTAAAAGAGAGAGAGTAAAGCAACATTGCGGCGAAGAGAAAGGGAAGAAAGATTGTCTACTAAAGGAGGAGAGTTAATGAGACGAAATGCTTTTGATTCCACCCTATCTAACAGTTGGACAGAAGAGCCACCCCAGTTATGAGAGCAGTACTCCAAGTTAGGACGAATGAATCCCTAATACACTTGAAGCAACTGCTCAGGAGTGAAGTAGCTACGGCTTCTATACAGCATTCCCAACTTTCGGGAGGCAGCTTTAGCAATGTTGAGGATGTGTGGCTTCCATGACATATTAGAGAAAATGGTGAGGCCTAGCATATCTATTTTAGAATTTGGCAGAATTATAGCGTCCTCAAATGTGATTGGTGGGAGATCATCTAATTTGGGAAATTGTAAATGGTAAATACTGAGTTTTATTACTATTGAATTTAACCAAGTTTCTACTTCCCTATTCGGAGATGCTGCACAGATCCGCATTGATAGATGTAATGATGATTATTTAGTTAATGTATTGAAGAATATACTGAAGTTTAGTTGTCGTGAAAAATATACCGTAGCTTAGTTGTACAGTAGTGAAGAATATACTGTAGTTTAGTTGATGTAGTGAAGATGAAAGTGCAGCACGAGCAACCTGGTGTGAAGCTTGGTAATAATGCTTACATTATCTAGGCACTTCTGGCAATATCCTCACCTGGAATTAGCTGACAGCCATTCCATTATGTGTCAGCCAAAAGCTAAAGGAGTTGCCAATATAAAAAAAAAATACTAACTTTTTTGCAGAGGGAATCATAATCTAATGGAATAATCTACCAGTAAATGTTTATGAATTCTTTTCAAGTCCAGGCTTGACCAACATTGGCACATACTGCGGTCCATACAATAGTCTATGCATGAACAGCAGTATCTTATGCCTAGGTGGCCCTTGGGCCGGCCATCCTCGTTGTACGAGGGGCAACCATTAGGCTGACTCAGTGTACTATCAGCCTGGCTGACAGTACACAACAGAGGGCTGACTGACCACCCGATCGTTTAATAAGCTCACATGTGGAAAAAAGGTTAACTATAAGATAATAAATAAAAAGTAGATCAGAATTAAACTTAACGGTGTTAGTATGAACAGAATTAACATCAATAAGTCAGCACCATCAGAAACCAACACCAGTGGCAGCCTCCATACGCCTGTGTACTGGCATGAGAGATAAAAGTAAGATAAGGAGTGAGATACACCACGCCCATCGTCCTCAGCTGCCTTGGGTGAGGTTATCTGCCTGATAGTGGTGTACCCCGAACACTCACCCTCCATCACGATGAAGTTGATCGTAACCTCCTTCAAGGGTAATCGTAGTTTCCTTCATGGACAGTCGTAGTTTCTTTCAACGGTATTCGTAGTTTACTTCAGAAGTTTCTTTCAACGGTATTCGGAGTTTACTTCAGAAGTTTCATTCAGCGGTATCCGTAGTTTCCTTCACAAGTAGTCATTACCTTTACAAGCAGTCGTAACCTTCTTTTATGACAGTCGCAGCTATGTTTACGTTGTCAGTGGTGAAGTTATTATATATGTATGATGTAGTAAATACGTGATTCTGCTTCCCCTAATATAAGATAAATGTTTAGAAGGCCAGAAATCCACACTGCATATCGTGGAAGTGTGGAACATCTCGCCTAAGATATAGGTAGGAGAGTTTAAAAACATGTTGACCTTCGAGAAATTACTGGGAAGCACTCGGCAGATTCAGATGCCATGTTATACTCTTTGGGGTCTAGTTACATATTATAAAGTCACTTAACCCACCCGCTATCAATGTTACCAGCGTAATGTCATAGATATAATTGAAGATGTGGGCATAACAGTTCAGTCTTCACCCAGGAACACATACAAGTTCAAGTTTCAGGGTCTAGTTACCGATAATGGAGGTTACTTTGATTCGGGGCAGACCTAGAACAACATCAGGGCCATGGAAGACTCGCTGAGAAGACACACTATGCACAGTTACCCATCACCAGCTGAGCACGTAAAAAAATATTCTTAATGAATCGTATCATGTTTACATTAGTGTGGAAGTATGTAATCAGTTTGGGTTATTGATCTTAAGTAATCAAGTTAATTTTTCAATGTGGATTGAAAACCCTATCGCTGATAGTACACACAGAATAAGAACAGTCCCCCACATGATCCACGACTACAGTGAGGCTCTGCATATCCGTTGTTTACATGTTTGTCACCATAGCAACGCCTCTTGTGTCGAACTATCATCGCAACACACACACACACACACACACACACACACACACACACACACATATATATATATATATATATATATATATATATATATATATATATATATATATATATATATATATATATATATATATATATATATATATATATATATATATATTGGTATTATAACATCTTTTATATAATATAACTCAAAAACACAGAGTCTCCAGTTGATGAAGTAGTTTTAACATGTAAAAGTCATTTAATAGTTCCATAGTAAGATAATACAGTAAGGATGTCAGGACTAGGAGTAGTGTGTAAGATGCTAGCAACATTCCGAAAAGAGTTTTAAAGTAGGCAGGTGGACCGGGGCCCGGGTCTTAAAGCTGGAGACAGGTTAAGTGCATTTTCCTGGGAGATGAGCTTTTCTGGCATCATCCTTTTGTCATTGCAAAATTGTCAAACAAAACGAATAGCGGTTACCATCTGAATAGTATACAGTGATTGGCAAATCATGTTTTGTTGTTTTACCCCGCTTACTAACTTGTAATGACAGCGAAGCGATGTGATGAATTTGGCAGCTATAAGTGTTATATCCAAAATGTTAACCAGTTGAGAGTTTTATTTATACTTATTCATGCAAAAAAAGTACAGTAGTGGTTTCGAACAAAATTGATACTATTAAGGTTTGACATGTCAAACGATGGACATGATTGCTCAGGAAGTAAGAGAGGATGTGCTTGTTTTACGGAAGCGACCTAAATGTACTGCCTTGATCAGATTATTATTAAGCAATATAAAAAGAACCACTGAATACTGTAATAGATGCCCTGAAATAGTTTAAAGTATTCTTTTTATCCCAGAAACAGATCATATGTGATAAGTACAGCAGGTACCAATGTGGACAATTTAACTATACATTATTGATAATTCCGTTGTCTGAAATGAAGTTAACCAGAACTGACATAACTGCTGAGTGCATGGAAGGTAAGGTAAAGTGAGGAAGTTAGGGAGAAGTGATAGCGCGAAGCGCAGCCTGGTAAGGCACATGTTTGTGCTTGGGATTAAAGAAGAATTGTACAACTTCTTGGGCCTCTTCAGTTACAAGAAGTTACAACTATTCAGAAAAATAGTGTTTTAAATTTTAACACTTAGGACAGTTACAAATGTACACTTTTTTTTACGGTGAAGTAAGGAACAGTTCTGGAACTCGGTACAAGAAGAGCCAACCAGCCAATAAAATTAAATTTTAGGAGAAAAAGTAAACTATGCTTTACAGGCTCAAGAAGTGAACACTTAATAATTTTAGTGTATGGTATACCTCCTCCCCACCTTCCCTGTATTTTTTTCTGCATTAATAGTTCCCAACAGAAAGTACGAACTTGCATTATCAAAGGAAAAATAATTTAATATCTGCTGTTCTGCTCCACTTCTGTTTTTAGGTTCTGCTGCCCTCTTGTGTGTATAAATAATACTAAACTGTATTTTTATATATAAAATATTTTAAATAATATTGTTTAAAAAAATTAAAACCCGCAGTAGATATTGCAGCTTTGGTACTTGACCGTCAGTTTAGTTATACAACTACAATATACTTTTCTTACCTTTATGCTGGAAACAAAATCTTGTTTAATCCATTTTCTTGATAAGTTTGTCCCTGGTGGATCCAGTGTACCTCACGTTCATGAAATTCGGCCTTTACTCTTGTTGTTACCGATAAAACGTGGGTTTGTTTTAATATATATATATATATATATATATATATATATATATATATATATATATATATATATATATATATATATATATATATATATATATATATATATATATATATATATATGTGTGTGTGTGTGTGTGTGTGTGTAAATTAATAAAATTTTAGTTCCCGCCTCCTGGTCCACTGTTCTGCGGGTAACGTTGTTTCTTATCTGCTGCTGCAGTCTTTACACCTGTATATAATCAGCTTCCCCTGAGAGATTGCTAAATCAGTCGAGAAAGGAATCCAAAATTAAAACAAAATGTTACTTGTATCAATTTTACTGGGAGCTAATTTCCCAAAATATTTAAAGTATTACCGGCTCACTGGTAAGATTTCTAACACCAATTTATCTTGCATGCTCTCTTCAATACCATTTGGTGACAGCAGTTGACAGAGATTACAGTTACTAGTGCATGTATTTGAGTATATAAAAAAATAAAACAACTTGTTATTTAAAGTTGGCGCTAATTCTGTATTCGTATCGATCAAGACATGCATGATGAGGCAAGATTGCCCAGGAACGACTGACAAGTAGAACTACAAACACAACAAACTACTCTTGTCATATAACCTCTCCGCTCTTACGCTGGTATATTGAATGAGTGTATATTACTGATAATGGAACAATCAGACATATTAAGGACTAATAATGTAGAGATAATAGAGCATAACTCGGCCATAGTGCATGCGTGAGACAGGTAGAAAAGTTGTAAACAAGACCTAATAATATTTTACTATGTATACACCAAAGTCTTTTAAAAGCAAACTTTCACCACTGAAATCTCGGGAAATTAGATTTGTTTCTTAAAATAAATGACACTCGTCCGGTATATAAATGCATTAGTAATCATAAGATACCATTATAATGTATTTAATCTTTAAATGCGCATTCATTTTTCAGGACTGACAATCATAAACTATTGACTCTTTCCTATAGAGTGTTGAATGATATAAAAGTGATTTTTTAAAAGTACTTAATAATATTTATTGTTAAGATAAAGGATTGAACACTCTTCCTCTCCGGAGTTTGTTGTATCTATAGGTTTTCTATCCTGTGCGCTGGATATTATTGGAACACCAACTAACAAAGACGCAATGAGTTCATTGACCGTCTCGAAAACATGTCATGAGTGGTTTTAGTGCGCCTTTTGTGATATTTTCAGCGCCTCCGCTTAAAATACAGGGCGCATGTAGATTTAAGGTAAGTGCAGACATCACTCAAGTTCCATAGAACGAGTTAGAAGGTGTTTGAGGTGAGTAGGAGAGGGAGACATAGTGTTTACAAACAAAAAGGTGTCAGTGTTTATTTGGGTTGAATGCGTCACCGAGGAGGAGAAACGCAGAATGTGGGCGATGCCAGTTTCGCAATCGTCACATTATTATTTTATCGTGATTTGTCCCACAAATTGCCTTAAAATTGTGTTGTTTATTGTTGGAGAAGAGCTGTAGAGGTGTGGTTTGGGTGAAAAGAGCGGGTCGGGGGGAGAGTACCGGCGAAGGGAAGGGAAATTATTGATTAACGCGGCTGTGTAAGTGGGCCTGCCTGCCTGCCACCAGCCAGCCGCTCTCCCTCCGCTACCAGGCCTACCCTGCAACGCGCTGCAACACCATGCAACACTCAGGTAGATATACTCATATTACAGTGCTATACTTACTTCATATGTGTACATAAATACTTGGTGCAACGGAAAATGGTGTAAAAGTGCAGTTCCGGAATGTGATAAGGGGAAATAGGCCTACAATAAGAAGTGAGAGGACACGGCTGTCTGGATGGAGTGGTGGCTATTGATTTTTAGGCATGTTGCATCCCGGTGAGCGAGGCTGACGACCCTCTGAACAAAGGGGTGCCACAATGGCTCTCAGCTCTTAAGATTTTGTACAGAGAAATGTGTTAAGCTTTCACCTCAACTTTGGTGTGTGGGGCATTGTCACCCTGGTCTTCATGGTGAGTTAATCTAATTTCTCTGCTTGTTATTGGTTATTGAGTAATTAAGGTGCGAATGTGCATCCTCACTCTTACCTGTATACTGCCATGTAGGCTTATGCAAGTGGAATCTGTGTTGTGTTACTTTGGAAGAATATTACTTTGAATAGGAATTTGCCAATGCATTATGATATCAGTACTAATAATCTCGTGTTGTAGGTAGTATTTGAATTAAGTGTTATCATGAGACTTTATGGAAAAAACATAGTTTTCTGCTTTAGTCCACAGAAATCTAGATGTATACCATTACTTCAATGTGAGTGCAACATAATTGTCAAGAAGTTTATAGTTTACTGGTGGCATATGTTTTAAAGGTTTCAGATAGGCAGTGGTTATATCCATGATGACAGCCATAGTATCTGTGCATTCCTGGGGTTAGGGCTGTGTTGATGATTTGCTTACTGCTGGGTGTCTGCAGTTCCTATTTTCCTCACCTGCAACTTACAGTGAAGTGCAGCCTATGGAACCCTAACCGAAATAAAAAAAAAATAAGTTCAGCTATGATAAAATTTTGATTTCAAAGTAGTGATATTGTGCTATTAAGTTAGGGCCTGAAGCATATACCAAGAGAGCAAGCAAAGCATTGATTGAGACCAAAGTCCAAGGATATTCTAACATCAGGGCAGGGCTCTGTTGTTGGAGCTGTAACCACTTCATGGTGTGTGGAATAGTGTTAATTGTTATTGTGAATTGGAAATTAACTAATTTATATTTATTTACTGGCACAGTACTTTATCTTCTCCACCACTGAGCGGCTTGGTAGCTTCTTTAGTTTCTTGTACTTTATACATTACTGTTGTGTCATTGGACATCCAAATTTCTCATTATTTTTTTTTAAAGTTCCCAGAAATTGTTTTCTAAATATATTCGAGTCTGACCTTATTTAATTTAATAGGAAGTCTGTCTGATATAGATTCTCTTATTTTGGAAAAATTGGCACATACTGGTATACTTGGGCATCAATTTGCTATCATGACTTTCATGTGTTGGTGATACAAAACAGTGCAGTAATTGAAATTTATTATTGTTTAAATGTGCAATACTATTTGGTACTGTACTTCAGCTCACTTATATATACAGTGCAGTACTTAGTGAATGCATAAATTAATATAGGTGTGGTTTTAAAACTAGAACATCAAGGACCATATTACTTCTTGAGCTTGACATTATGTATTTTTCGGGCTGTCCACTCAAATTATTTTTTTTAGGGGAGGTCCCTGAAAATTATTCAGTTACTCTTCAGTATTGAGGGAAGATGGTATCCCTTATCCTTTGACTACAGTATTTTAATACATGTCTAGATGTATGTTTATGTATATAGTTAAAGTTTATAGTGTACAGGACTATAAAGTTCATTATCTTTGAGTACAGGTACTGTAGTCATGTACCAACTCAGGTATAATTTAGTCTTACCCTGGTACAGGTATATAGGTTTATAGCTACATGATAAAAAGCTCACTTGATCCCATTTTCTTATTGTTCTATATTTTCCATCTTCCATTTTTATCTTTCTTGCACAATTGCTCCCATTCTGAGATAGCTACACATTCACATTCTCATGGATCACTTCCCAAACAGTTCTACTGTATATACCAAATCCTAGCGAATGCATTTCACTGCATACAGTACCACTTTCCCAGTTCACATTCCTGCTTACAAATTTTTCAGCTCACATATATCAGTGTACAATATATCAGTTTCTTAGCTCACATGCATCAGTTTAGCAACTTCTGAGCTAATATGCCATTGCATACCAACTTACACACATCATTGTATAACATAATGTGCACCATTATCCATGCTAACACAGCAATGCATTCCAACTACCCAGCTTACACTCAATGCTTACCAGATTCTGAGGTAACACACATCAGCTCTCACAAATTAGTGTACAATATATCAGTTTCTCACCTCACATGCATCAATGTGTACCAACTTCTGAGCTAATATGCAATTGCATACCAACTTCCACACATCATTGCATTACATAATGTGTACCATTAATTATGCTAACACAGGTCAGTGCATACCAACTACCCAGCTTACACTCAATGCATACCAGCTTCTCAGCCAACACACATCACTCCTTACCAACTACCTTTTAGCACAAATCAGTGCATACCAAGTTAGCCAACACATCATTGGATACCAAAGTGCATACCAACTTCTCAGCTAACACACATCAGCTCACATATACAGTAGTTGCATAGCCTATCACCTTCCCAGACCCCACACATAATTGCATACTAGGATGTTTCCTTAAGTGGACCACAACACACATCACTGTTTATCTACACAATAATATACTCATGCTACTGCAAACTGACAGAATTGTATACCCTTACTGTACTGGTGCATACTCACACAAAACTTGTACATACGCAAACCTACATCCCTGCATAAAATTAGAACTGCATACACTGCTGCTACTTCATTTCTCTTCAGGTAAAACATCTACATATTGAATCCTTGCTCCAGTGTTTATACTGTATACACAGCTTTACATACTTTCCAGTGCAATGACACATTATTGGAAATTTATATATATTTTTTTATATAATATATTTTTTAACGGGGATTAGCCCACCCGGGCACAGGTCACTGACCCACATCGGGGCCTGGGGGGCAAAAATGTAATGATAATAATAATAATAATAAAGAACCATAAAGAAAAAAAAAGATCAAGAGTGAGAAACAATATATGTATGTTGTGTTGTCAAAGTAAGAGAAACAATTGAGACCCTGCAATTGTGTGTAAATGAGGCAGAAAATCAGATCAGCAACCTGGGACTTGGTCACAATTTTCGTGATGCCATATGGCAGCAGGGTCTACCATTAGACAACACATTATGCTTCCAATATCTTCCCAGGTGGTAGTACCTCCCTGTTTGGTAGCTGCCTACTACCTAATATCATATGGTGCGTAAACTGGCATAAAATTGCCAATGCACTCAGTGAAAATTATTGTATACAGTAGCTGCAAACTCAACACATTTTTTTTTACCTACCTCAGCATACACAAAACTTCAATATACTGTATATTTATGCTTACAGTATATGTCCAAAACCCTGCATACTCATTTACATAAACAATACCTACCTACACACATCTGCATACACAACACTTGCACACATTCCTTTGCACACACAATGCTGTACCTGCACATGCTTTTGCATACAATGCCTGTGCATAAAGCTTTGTATTAACACTGCATAAAAATTTGCATTTACAACATCTGTGCATAAACATCTGCATTCACAACACATGTGCATTAACTTATGCATTCACAACACGTGCATAAACGTTTGCATTCTCAACACGTGCATAAATTTTTGCATTCACAACACGTGATCATAAACATTTGCATTCACAACACGTGATCATAAACATTTGCATTCACAACACAAATATGTGCATTCACAACACATTTGCCAAAACTTTTGCATTTACAACACATGTGCATAAATGTTTGCATTCACAACACCTGTTCATAAACATTTGCATTCACAATACATGTGCATAGGAATTTCATACACAGCTGCACATATAATAATTATTTGCTTACACAGCACATATCTTCTGTATACACAACCTACATACATATTTGCATATTCAACACATGCACACAAATTTGCATAAGCAATGCATATGTGCATTTTCATGCACAACACATGCACACCTGCACCTGCATGCACACTACCATTGCATACTCTGTGGATATACAGTTGCATACCATACACATCTGCATGCATGACTTTGCATACACAACATTTTCATTTGCACAGTTTTGCATTTATGACTGCATACACACTTCTGCCTACATGAAATGTCTTTATTCACATTCCCCTGCATACACAGCACTGGTTTGTTCACATACCTCTGGATATACAAACATTCATTTGCATGCCTCTGCATACACAGTAGCTACCTCTTCATTTGCATATATTTGCATACACCGTACATCTTTGTTTACTTATTACTGCTTACATAGAACCTTTTCACTTGCCTACATCTGCATATACAATTGTATGTTAATCAACCAATGGCTACCAACATATACTAATACTGTACATACACACGCTATTGCACACACACTTTGTACCCAAACCATTGAAAATACACTTTATGCACCCAAATACTGCATGCAGAGATTGCGATACTTTAAGCATGCACAGCATACTTTTGCCTTTACAAACCACTGCATACATACTTTGCT